CGTTGAAAAATGTCTTGAAAAGGAGTAAGGCTGGTCTGAAATCGTAATCATCCATCCATCCATTTTCTACACCCGCTTCATCAAATGGAGGGTCACCGGGGGCGATGGAGCCTTTCCCAGCTGACGAAGGGTGAAAGGGTGAAAGGCAGGGTACACCTGGGGCAAACACAGGGAGACAAACAACCAGGCACGCTCACTCTCACACCTAGCCTTAATTTAGAATCACCAGCTAGCCTACCGTGCATGTCTTTGGACTGTGGAGAAAGCTGGAACACACAGAGGAAACCCTCTGAAAGGCACAAGGAGAAACATGCAAACGCTACACAGGAAGGCCCCAGCCGGCTAGCATCGCTTTACAGCGTGCATTAGAGAGCATTACAAACAAGCTATAATGACCAAGGTCACTCAACTCCTCTTTCCATCTAGTTTATATATATCTATATATATCTGCTTGCAGGGCTTCCATATCCATATTCTATATGTGATTTGCTAGTAATGAAATGGGAAATGAAAAGGAGCAGAACTGCAGGATAATGACACAGAAATAACACTTCATTCTCTCCCTGCAGCTACATATCTGTCATTCATTTCATTCACGTCTTTGATGAAACATTCATTCATTCCTTTTCTTATACCTCAAGCAGACAGGTGGCAAAGGAAGATATTTAGTCACGGTGGGATCACTGTGAATAGATAAACTGATGCTTGATATTTTGCTCGAGGTAACACCTCAATAAAATATTATTTTAGACTTGTTGAGAGCCGATGCAACACAGGGCTCTATGTGCTGTGTTAAGTCATGTCGCTGTTTAATCAATATTCCTTTTATGCCAATAAATTAACTTGTCGGTTAATGTTTACGGAAACAAATCAGTTATCTAGACTTACTGAATTAATTCCCTATTATACCAACCCATAGCCAGCACAGGTGCTTTTGTGTACCCACACCATTTTGTCCAACAAAAGCTACAGAACAGGTGCACGGATCTTTCTAATCCACACCGCTCTCCCTCCACCTGCTGTGATAATTAATGAGGTGTTTCAATACACAGTGAAAAAGCTTCTTCTCTTTGCAAGTTGTTGAGTAGCTGTAGGAGTTAGCAGCAGACGCAATGGGGTCATTGTGGATACAGTTGATGTTTCTTCTTCTTCTTGTGCTGTCAGATTTTAAGCTCTGGCTCAGCACACGAGGTAAACACAGATAAAAGGGGATGATATCGAATGCTGGTGGTAAAATCCTGTGCAAGTAAATCGTAGTTTAGCCTTACACACTATTCTCATCGATACACTTCTTTGATCCGTGCATGCAGAGATTGTTTACAAACCAAAGAGTCACAAGAGCAATGCTGCAGCTGTACAAAAAACAAACCTATATGTGAAGAACTGTTATTTGTATTGTTTCTTTTTTTTTACAGACTGGGCAAAATGGTTGAGCGTCAGCATATTGACTTGCCTGACCCAACCTTACACGCACCTTAATTTAAAATGCAGTGTTATACTATATATTTGCACCTGTGTGTGCAGGTGGGACACTAATATTTTTCTTTTTTTTTTATAATTCACAACAATATCGTGCATGCTCTAAACTAAAAACCTAATGTTGGGTATTGTCATCTGTTAACCACAGTTCCACCAATGTGAAGATTCAGAATATATCCAATAGTCAATCAAATTTGATGAACATAACAGAAAACAGAAAACATAAGGAAGCATCAGAAAACATCCACCTCAACTTGTTTTTCCTCTGATGAAATAATTCAACTTGTACTGCTGTGCACCAGTCACATCGCTAACAACAAATTAAATTGTCAAAGGCTTGTTTGCTCAGTGTGGCTGTACTGGAACTGTAGTGCAGGTAGATGGGGCCACAGACCAGTTCAAGGTGAATAGTATGATTTAGAAGTAGAAGGTGTAGTTATTTATTTTTTTTTTATCTGTTGTACTGAAACCAATCAGTGCTGCTGAATGCCTTTGAGCAAGGGTATTCAGCCCCATGTGGATGTGTAGCAGCCTGCTCTGATGGCAGGCATTAGAAAGTTTTTAGAGTTGGCTATAAATACTAGGATACAACCCAGCAGCATAACACAGCTTGTAATGATGGTTGCATCTGTCCCTACAAATATAACCTCAGCAACAATGGGGCCTACGGTGACAATGCCCATCCATCAGTAATTTAAAATCAAAGTTGCTGAAATAAAGGTTAAAGGGAATGACACTCTGAGGTCACTGATGCACAGATTGTAGCTCTCCTTTTGTAAACGGAATCTACAAAAAAGAAAAAAAAAATGTCACTGTTCAATTTAAAATACTGTCCTTCAGTAGTAGAAGCTGAGGTTTGTTACAAGTACAGTCGCGTGAAAAAGTTTGGGCACCCCTGATCATTTTCAAGATTTTCCTTTATAAATCATTGGTTGTTTGGATCAGCAAGTTCAGTTAAATATATCATATAGCAGACAAACACAGTGATATTTAAGAAGTGAAATGAAGTTTATAGGATTTACAGAAAGTGTGCAATAATTACTTAAACAAAAGTAGGCAGGCGCATACATTTGGGCACCCTTGTTGTTTTATTGATTTGAATACCTTTAGCACTAATTATTGGAACACAAAATTTGTTTGGTAAGCTCATTGACCCCTGACCTACATACACAGGTGAAGCCAATCATGAGAACGGGTATTTAAGGTGGCCAGTTGCAAGTTGTTCTCCTCTTTGCATCTTCTCTGAAGAGTGGCAACATGGGAGCCTCAAAACAACTGTCAAATGACCTGAAAACAAAGATTATTCAACATCATGGTTTAGGGGAAGGATACAAAAAGCTAGCTCAGAGATTTCAGCTGTCAGTTTCCACTGTGAGGAACATAGTGAGGAAATGGAAGACCACAGGCACAGTTCTAGTTAAGGCCCGGAGTGGCAGGCCAAGAAAAATCTCAGATAAGCAGAGGCAAAGGATGATGAGAACAGTCAAACTCAACCCACAGACCAGCTCCAAAGACCTACAACATGATCTTGCTGCAGATGGTGTCACTGTGCATCGTTCAACTATTCAGCGCACTTTGCACAAGGAGATGCTTTATGGGAGAGTAATGCGGCAGAAGCCTTTTCACATGTCATAAACAGAGTTTGGAGGTATGCTAAAGCACATTTGGACAAGCCAGCTTTATTTTGGAATAAGGTGCTGTGGACTGATGAAACTAAAATTGAGTTATTTGGACATAACAAGGGGCGATATGCATGGCGGAAGAAGAACACAGCATTCCAAGACAAACACTTGCCACCCACAGTAACATGTGGTGGTGGTTCCATCATGCTGTGGGGCTGTGTGGCCAGTGCAGGTACTGGCAATCTTGTTAAAGTTAAAGGTCGCATGGATTCCAGTCAGTATGAACAGATTCTTGCGAACAATGTTCAAGAATCAGTGACAATATTGAAGTTGCGCCGGGGCTGGATACTTCAACAAGACAACGACCCTAAACAGCTCAAATTCTACGAAGGCATTCATGCAGAGGAACAAGTATAACGTTCTGGAACGGCCATTTCAGTCCCCAGACCTGAATATTATTGAAAATCTGTGGTGTGATTTAAAGCGGGCTGTCCATGCTCGGAAACTGTCAAACCTGACTGAACTGGAGATGTTTTGTAAAGAAGAATGGTCAAAAATACCTTCAACCAGAATCCAGACCCTCAGTGGAAGCTATAGGAAGCGTTTAGAGGCTGTTGTTTCTGCAAAAGGAGGATCTACTAAATATTGACGTAATTTTTCTGTTGGGGTGCCCAAATTTATGCACCTGCCTACTTTTGTTTAAGTAATTATTGCACACTTTCTGTAAATCCTATAAACTTCATTTCACTTCTCAAATATCACTATGTTTGTCTGCTATATGATATATTTAACTGAACTTGCTGATCCGAACAACCAATGATTTATAAAGGAAAATCTTGAAAATGATCAGGGGTGCCCAAACTTTTTCATACGACTGTATATACTATTGATATGAGTGGAACTTGCCACTGGTGAAGTGAAGTGTTGAAATGTGGAGGATATATAGAGCACTGGCACTTTAAAGGTGGACACTTTAGTCACAGACCATTGTAAAGCTTGACTGTGGTCCTTGGAGATGGCATGTCAGAGCTATGCTTAGACCATCTCCTCACAACAAACCCTACATACAATACAGTGATTTGCAGTGCTAAAAATAAATATCCTTGGAGCTTTATAAAACTCAATTCAAATGACCAAATGTCCCCTACAAAGCTGTGGCTTAAAACGGATTTTCTACAATAACATCTGTTTTCTCAAAATAGGAATACCACCGGCGTTGACTGTACAACCTTGTTTCGGTGCTAATATCTGGAGGTTATGTTCTGAAATGAGAGCATAAATTCCCTGTCAGGAGATTAGAGTGCCAGAGATGTTAATAGACTCATGGAATTGTGAGGAAACTCCACTAATATCCTGGGAAACCCCTCGAAGTGGCACCTCTTTGTAGAACTGACACACAGCAGAACAGAACTGGAACAGTAGCTCCGCCAATTCGACATCATTTCTTAAAGCTGCACTTTCAGTACTTTTAAGAATTAACAGCGGAAACAACAACATAATGTAAAAGGTGTTGCTTGTACTGACAAACCCAAAGAGAATTAACGCCTTACAATGGGTTTTAGCTTTTTTTTAGTGTTTTGCTTTTATGGCCAGTCAGATTGAAATTGTGGCTTTGCTCTTTTGCATCGCTTTCATTTCAGCAATAAGCAGCTGTTTTTAATGGAAAGCATCTGTTTGGGCCTACCTGTCCAGCACCAAACAGCCAACAGACATTTAGCAGCTGAAAAGACAGATTGTCTTTTAGAGTTGGTGGGCATCAAAATAGAAACAAAAAGAGAGTCAGTGTTGGATTAAATATATCTATAGTGTGTTTACAGCTTGTTTCTAAATGTCTATTTCTTGTTTGTTGCTCCTCTCTCCATTGGTTTTAATAATTTAATACTTCTCATTCTGTACAAGGTGTACTTCAAGCGTGATGGGGAGCTGATCGAGGTGATCTCCTACACTCAACCCTCGACCGGCGAGCAGGGAAGCAGCGCCGCAGGGGTGAGAGGAGCCAGGCCGCTCATCAGCCGGGACCTCGATGACACCAAGCTCCAGAGGTCCCTGTCCCTCCTGGACCCCGAGGGGCGGCCCGCCCACCTGTACACAGAGAGCCCCCAGCGCGTCCACACTCAGGGCCAGCAGGCCTCCGAGCCCAGCCCTGCCACAGAGGTCATCCCAGAGACAGTGGTCAGCCGGGAGTTCCCCCGCTGGGTCCACAGCACAGACCCTCTCTACTACTTCAGCCACACTCACATCCCCCAGAGCGACGGCTCTGTGGTGGTGCAGGCCCGCCTCACCTGGACACTCAACCCTCAGCTGGATAATGACGCCCTATTCAGTTGCGAAGTCAAGCACCCAGCGCTGTCCATGCCCATGCAGACAGAAGTGACTCTAGGTGAGTAGATGCAGTCTAGCTCGTTGGTTTTGCATGCTGCTCTCATTCCCCACCGCCACCTTTTCCTCATCTGTCCTCTGTTCCTTCTCCTGCCCAAAACTCTCCACCTCGACACACATACCCTTTTCTCATTTCTTCTCCCTTTTAATCTCCTGCTGTCTCCTTGTATCCCCTTGCCGCACTTGGAAACTGACTGGGCCTCCTCATGTCTCCCTTGCAAATGTACTCAGAACAACACTGATTTTCATTTGATGCCGCTTAATTGTGTTACAGCTGAGCAGATTGCAAGTTTAGCCGCGAATGCAAAACTCCGAGTGACTGACAGGGTAATTCATCGAGCTGTCTGTTGCTAGATTGAGTTAACTCAGTACCGTTATTGAAAAAGTCAGGCTGAATTAGAGAAGTCAAATGAGAATTTAGACACACTGACCAATGTTATATCACTGGAAAGACGATCGCAGAGATGCCGCCCTTCTTCGAGCTTCAGTGAACACCTCCCTTAAGCTTTCCACTGTAACACTTTCAAACTGAAGCATAGCGTCTACATTTCATCATTTTATTTCAAGGGAAAAAAAAAACACAGTATTGCATTGGGATTATTTGTTTGTTCATCTGCAAACTATCAAAGCAGAAGAAATAGTGATTCAGATACTGATTTCAGAAAACAGGAGGAATACTTTAAGGGAAAAAGTTAGCATTAAGTTTTAATAATGTGTGATCCAAGAGAGACACACGCACTCTCAGATTTTTCTTCTTCTTTTTTTTTTTTTCATCTAAAAACAAAGATGGCTTCCAGCACATCCTATTAACACTTCAAAGGCGAAACATTGGCATAGTCCTCCTGGAAACCAGCCTCACAATCCTGACATGATAAACAGAGACAATATCTTCCACTGGATGCTAGCAATGGTTGAAGGCAGAAAGAGATTCTGAATGAGGAGATTGTGGCTGGTGAGTGTTTGCTTGCTGCACTGTGTCCCACTGTCAGTGTTTTATCTCACCACCTTTCATCTAATTAAACGTCACGTTCTTTCTATGCTGCTGAGCAAATACGGTCACTGCAAGTCAATCTATAGAAACTGGCATTGTCATCTGGAAGCGGGAAATCTTTAATAGGTTTATGAAATGACATGTAGACTTTAACAATCGCACACAAACAAGGCACAGCACAGCTTGCTCTTGTCTTAGTTGTGGTCCATCATTATCAGAGAGGGTCTGACATACATAATCCGAAACACAATCAATACATTTTATTTATATAAGTCAATGTGACACAGTAAAGCTCCCTTATTTCATTTTTCCAAGTAGTAGCTTGACATTTTGGAAATTAACATACATAAATGTAAAAAAAATAAATAAAAAAGACTGCTTGGATCTGAACTTTGTGACTAGAGGGGATGATGGCAGACAATCCTGTTGCACCAGGTTGACATGAGTGTTGCTTTGTAGATGTTTCGCTTCCAGATTATTGCCAGAGAATCTGGAGAATCTCAGATTTTGGGTTAAGTTTTATTTCCTCACATTTTGTGTGCCAAAAAGACTTCCTGCCAGAATCCCTATATGTATGTGGGTAAATAGGTTATATCTACAGAGTCTCAATTAGTGAAAAAGGGACACTCCTTTCTGTTGTACCTTTTAAATCAGTTTTCAGCTCAGACTGACAAGGAGAGTGTACTTTTTTGATCAAAATCATTTGCACAGTGCCTAACAAATTTATTAGACCACCACTCAGTCTAAGGTTTGAGCCACAGCTGCCCTAAATTAGCCGCATTGGTAATTACCAAAATCATTTCTTATGTTTCCGTAAGGGTTAATACACCAGTATGTAGAAGCTCTTTAATCAAAATTAGGTTTTTAATGCAAAAATATAGTTATTGTTGTTATCCATGAATGTTAAAATGTACTGTTTTACAAAAAAAATGAAAAAATAGTGAAGTACTTTATTATTTCTTGATTGAGATGCCAAATTATAGATATCTACTTGCATTCCTGAACAGAAATATTAGTTTTAGTGTTTGAGTGTTATGCTTGATTAATTTTTGACTTCTCAGAGAAACCCAGTGAGCCGGACCAAATTTGGGTATAAAAAGGTGAATTTAGTTTGAAATTCCTCATTCCTGTTTAACATGCACATCGAGAGCTTAGTGCGCATTAAAGCACTTTATTATGGATGGTCAATACATATATGTGTGTGTGTGTATGTGTGTATGCTTAACAAATTAGACAGGTGGTCTAATAAATTTGTTAAGCACTTATATATGTGTATATATGTATACTGGTCAACCACGACATTAAAACAGCTGACAGATAAACAGATAGATAAACAGATAGACAGATAAATTAATGAAATTGATCATTTCTTGACAATGCAATGTTACACTGGGAAACCTTGGTCCTTTCATTTATGCAGATGTACTGTGCAACACAGCAAAAACAGCTCAGGAATGGGTCAAGAGCCAAGAATCCAAGGTGCTGACCTGATCTCCAAACTAATGCTAATCAGAGCGAGCATGTGCAGTATGCACCGAAACCAACCCGATCCACCGAGGTGTTACCGCAACTCTCAGGATCCGAAAATCCATAGCCAACACTCATGTGCTTAATACCAAATAGGATGGCGTATATACATACATACATATAAATATACACATATATTCTTCTTTATGAATTATTATAAAGTGCCACAACAATATCTTTTTGGAATCCCAGCCCAACGCCCAGAGATTCTTACTGAAGACATAAGTCTCATTTTTGAGATAGATCATTTTTTTTGGAAACAGTTGCAGTTTTTACTTGCAGCGTTACTCAACAAGATAAATACATTTGTCTGGGACTATTTTCAGCTGTGTATGTATAGGCAGTCAGTGGACTTGTGAGTATTTATGGCAGCAGGATAGTGTATGAGAGATTAACCCAAAGTATATTACAGTTGCCATGTTAATCATCAAAGCAGCATTGTGGCTCTTTGATGTTTTTTTCTCTTTTTTTTGGACAATAATAGAGGTCTGAGGCACAAAGAAATAATGTAAGTTATATCAGGCTTTGACACACTATTTGTCAGTAGGAACAATTTATTATTGGTTTTGATCTTTTAATGGAATTCATTGATATTAAGAAAAATATCAAATATTGCCAGCCTTATCCTTTAAGAAAACCCAGTGTCTAAAAAAGGCCTTTGGCCCTTATTTAAAAATCAATTGTCACAATTGGCATTGTCACTTTTTCAAATGGGAATATCTCATACCAGAAAATTGTCTTTTAAAAATGTAATAACTGTCACCCTCATATCCCAAGTGAATAGAAATATATCACATCATATGCAAGAGGGCGACAGCAGCATCAGTTGAAGGTATAATGGCATGAGCTGTCTCTTCAAGACAAAGTATTGCAGTAAGGATTCTAACAGCTCTTTGCCTTTTTCACATGTTGTTGATAAAACAGATGACACACCCTGAGGGGAATGGGCCCTGTGAAACTCATGCTAAATGTCAAAGGCGCTAATGTTTTGACAAGCCTTTCTCTCTGCTGTGTTTGAAGTCATTAATTTATCACTACCTTTGTTCTTTTAAAGAGATGGAAGGAGCATCAGCAGACATCCATTTTTTTCCCACCAGCTAAAGAAAAGAGAACAGAAAAATGTGCATTTGTTGATTCTAATTAGAGCACACTTGAAATTCAAAGCACTCACATTCCTCCTTGGGGCTGGATCCATCTTGAAATGGATTTTTTTTTTTTTTTTTTAGGTAATATGGTTGTGATTCAGGTCCAAGGTTATGTTGATTTGGCTCATAACATAGATAAAATGGCACACAGTTTTTTCAATATTTCAGCACTGTGTAAGTCTTATTAAATGTGACTGTAAAACAGCTCACCTAAGGTTTCCCATCACTTACATCCCCAATTCATTTATATTATGCAGCTGTAACTGGATAATTGCACTCACACGCACACCCTCATGGTTCTCTCAGGTGTGTTTGGTCAGGAAATGAAAGGGAGATCTTTTCAGTGCTCATAAGTAATAAATCTTTCAGAGATTTAATATTGCCACGAGAGACACAGCGACAGGCTGACAATTGACCAATGTTGTATCACTCCTCATGAATATTCATGATTGGCTCTGTGCTCACCATACAAATGGAAGTGAACCTGGTGCTGCGCCTCAGGAGTCTAAAAACAGTGCTTTACCTCTATGAGAGCCTCATTGTATTCATGAACATCGACTCATTCTTGAGCAGTGCATCTTAATAATTAAAAGAAGTTCTTTGTTTTGGATTTAGGTGAGGTAGGCTGTTTATTATTCAACATCATTAGACTAGTGATGGAGTTCATATTTCAGACTGTGTGCTGCACTGAGAAGAGATCCAGGCATCTTCACACCTCCCAGTCTTTGCTTTGCCAGACCGTGATAATCAAAGAGCAGATGCTCAGTTTCAGGAAAGCGTCTGTGATCTCTGTGTGTGTGCGCATGTGTGTGTGTGTGTGTGTGTGTGTGTGTCAGAGTGGGTATTTGCAGGGGATTGTGTGCGTATGCATATATGTGGATATTTGAATTTAAATGATCTATGCATGTCTTTGTCTGTTTGCTCGTGTGAATATAGATTTGTGATGTGTGCCTAGTATGTTATTTTTATCTGCGTTCACCTGCAGCTCAGCTCAGCATTCATCAGTCTGCCTTATCTCCATGTTTTGGGTCACCTAGAAGAGCGTGTTAGTTGAATCCGTGAAAGACATTACACAGGGCCTGATTCACCACGATAGAACGGTCCATCTGTCAGTCAGGCCTTTTAAATTCGGTTGCAGGCCTCTCCAGCTTCTCTTTTTCTACAGAACCAGTCACCCAGCTAATGCGACAGGTTCCCGTCAATTGCTTAAGTCTGTTGTGCAGCTGGGCAGACCTGTTGATGTCTTGGCTTGGTATGAAAGCACACCTGATGCAGTGTTCGCAGTTGTTTTTCTGCGGGGCATGTTTATTCTCTGACCTCTGCTGAAGTGATAACGGTTCTTACTTGAAAACCGAAGAAGTTGGGCCTTAGGTGATGGTCTCATGAGACCGTGGCTCACTTCCCCTGTGATGCCCTCACCCGAGACAGACTGTGTCATGTCGATCACACCACATGCTTCCCTATCAAAGGTGGTGACGTAGGACGCCAACTGTCGCTGCTGGAGCAAATCCCAGAAATCAGCCATCATCTTTCCCAGCCATATGCCTTGCAAACTCTATGTGACGCCATGACACCAGTATTTAAAAATACCCTTCCGTTAGTGTGTAGGTGGGGAGAGAGAGTCCTCCTCACCGCCATGCCAAAGCTAGCCTGTGAAATGCTGTCCATGGTCGGCATGAGATGGAACACTTAGCCATGTCAAACTGCTCACATGATGTCTTTGGTTGAGTTGCCAGTGTAAATATGTCAATATTTTCCCTGAATCCAAAAAAGTTATCATTGCCAAGATGTATTTCTGGACTTTCCACTGGTTTGTACTGCTGTGCATTGATTTTCCAGACAAATGAATCGCTTTACACAGAATAGCAAATTGTCAAGTGGTGTTAAAATCTTTCAGAAAATGTGAATATCTCCTCTTTCCCTTATTTTTATGACTTGAATTCTCTCTAACCATTTCATGCAATTTAATTGCTTTTTTCTTCCGTTTTATATAAAGATCCCTAGAGGGGATGTTGTACACGGGCAATCCTATTTACAGATATGATAGTGTAAGTCCTAATCCATTACTCTGATACAGGCTTGTAGTCAGTGACTGCCTAAGAAAATACTGTGATTCATTAGCCACAGTGGATAGTTTGTGGCCAGATTAATAGCTAAAAACCCAGGTCATTTGCCTGTTTATTTATTTATCATTTAGTTTAACTCATCAATGAAAACAAGCATCCAGCGTGATTTAAAATAAGAGTTCAAACCAAATTAACTGTAGAACGCCAAGGGTGTTCAGCCATTACTGATAGGATGCCCTTATCTTGAGCCTCATCGCATGTGCTGCTCAGTCCAATTGTTTAACATATGGAACTGCACAGCATGTGAAGCAGTTATCTTTAGTGGAATTGTTAATCATCACAAGTCATGTAGAACCTGCTCATCCTGGCCTAATGCAGTGTACTGTGCAGTTTAGCTGTAATGAAATGACTTACCTCTTTATAACATTATGCAAATCATTCATTTTATCTCAACGCAACACACACTGGACAATCACTGTCCCCTCGCAATTTCATAACATTAGAATCTGCCTGTTCCCTCTCCTACTCGCGCCCCATTGTTTTAGATGGTCCAAATGAAAGCCATCTGGGGGCTGCTGTCCACACCAAGACAAGGGAATTAGCTCTCTGAGTGTCCCTTATCTCACTGCCTCCACACTCCACCCGTTGCACTCCCATTCTCCTCTAGTAATGAGTATCTACCCAATTTAGTTCCTTTTCTCTCCAAAGGGGAATAAATCCAGCACAGTCCTTTGGATGAAAGAACCTGCAGGTCCCTCGCCTCTCGCCCCGTGACCTTAATTGACAGGAAATTGTATTTGTCTCTCTCCCTCTGCGACAAAACAGGTGTCCGCCAGGATTAGTTTTCCATGCTCAGTACGATGACCTTTGTCTCTTTGTGGGTTTTTTCTTCTCTTTTCAGCTGCTCCTAAGGGTCCTAAACTCTTCATGTCCCCGAGTAGGGCAAAGGTAGGGGACACAGTGCGCATCACTGTGCAAGGATTCCAGGTAGGATCGCCTGGGGTAAGTGCATGGGGGTTTTAACAAAATGAGGGGTTAGACTAGAGTCTAGAAAGTCACTTGTACACACGTGCAGTTCAGGCTGTTGCGGCTCAGGCAAATAAACTCTAAACTCAAATGAAAAAGCTAAGATATTAATTTCTTAATGAATGACTGAGGTTAATTGGTACCCATATCCATCATTATTAACCAACTATGCAGCCAAAACAAAAAGCCATGTCCCTGGCGAGAGCTGCCTGTGGATGGTCCCGATCTCTTGGCCAGTAATGACACATCAAAGTCAGGCAGCTGGAGCCAGTCAGGTGAAGAGAATGGGGCTAATCCTGATATATTGAACATGCTAATGACCCACGGCACAAATCTCCTTTGTTGCTTCCCGGTCACCGCTTCATAAATCTGTTGGAATTACAAGTCAGATTGTGTGTTTGATTTTATTTCACTTTTATTCTCAGCACAAATTCTACATTGTTGTTGGCTTAACGCACTAAGCTATTGACTGCACATGTGTTCATGTGATCTTGGGATACTTTTAAAGCTTTTCTTTGAACAAGGTTAAGATTGGTTATGATAAACAAGCCTGACTGTGGCACACAGCCGGTCGGGCCCTTCGGCAGCATAGGCATCAGTGCGTGCAGATTGATCAGAAAGCAAATTTCCCTTATCCTTCTCTGGACCTAGGCTTTAGGGTTTCACAAGTAGATAAGATTGTGTGCCGAGACTGATAATTTTGCATCCCGCCTTTCTGGTAAAATAAGATGCTCCCTTTGGGACTTTGTTGTGCATGATTATCCTACAGTGTGATTTTTATTATGCATTCCTTTTTCTTGTTACTTTATGTATGACTGACTTAAAATATGTGTTCATCAAATTGCATTATTTTTCAGCATGTATTTGAGTATGGGTCACTTCAAGCTCTTAACGGGACTCTTGCACCAACTTGAAACATTATTTTTTTTTAGCCCCAGTGCATGCCAGCCAATAAGTGCACCAACGCTGCTTGCTTCAAGGATTCCAGAGCGCATAGTCTGGAGACAATGGACACTGTTATTGCCATTTCATACTATCCCCTCCCTTGTGTGTGAAAAAAAACATATAGAGGGGAAAACTGCAGTCTGGATGTATGAGTTTTTAGCTAAAGTTAAACAAGCGCAAAGTGTTGATTTGATTCATTCCACTTTTTGTAAATTTGCCAAACAAGCTCGCTCTTTCTGAGTTCATGCACCTCTGCACTAAAGCTGTACTTGAGTAGCATCAACAACCAAAACTGATGGTTACGTTTTGAATACGGTTAGATATAAACACAGTACGGACCTTGAATCCACACTTGTTTCTGTTTTTTCTCGAGGTTATTTAGTTTCAAGACATCACCAGGATCAGACCTTACTTCTCATCCACTTTAACCATTTAGTTAGAAAATGAATCAGTTTAAGGAATAAATAACTACATTTTTAAATAGAAATAGATTTTTCTTTTAAATCCCGTTCTGTCATATGTGAAATACCTTTGTAGGTCCAAGGATGTGATTTTTTTCTTTTGACGATGTAGGGCTAGAGTGCTGGAAAGTCCTACGTGGAAAAAACTGTTGTAAAGTGAAGTGTTGATTATTAATGCATGTTGTTAACTTGCTGTTGCATTAGGGGAAATTGAAGCTTGTATTATTCATGTATGCTTTGCTCTTAATCTCTTGGCTGAGACTCACACTTTCTCTGCTCTGCCCTTTCAACACCCCTCTGCCTATTCCTTTCTTTTTTCTCCCCCATTTTCCCCCCACGCTCCCTCCCGTCCGACAGAATGAAGTTTTCCCTGAACCGCTCTTCACCTGGACGCGAGTTGGGGGCCGACTGCTGGACGGCAGCACCGAGCGAGAGGGGAAGGAGCTTATTCTGGAGAGAGTGCCAGCCGAGCTCAACGGCTCTATGTATCGCTGCACGGCCCAGAATCCTCTGGGTTCCACGGATACGCACACTCGCCTCATAGTCTTTGGTACGTATGCTTAGCTCTGCAACATGCTCCAGTCTTGTTCTGAAGTGGCTACTACACCAGCAGTTAAAAAGAAATTGCATTTAAGCTTGATTAATTATTTAGAAGACAATGAATATGAAACATTTTTTTTTTTTTTTTTTTTATAACTGTACCACTCGGTTCCACAAGAATTATCTGGAACACTTATACAATTACACAGTTAAATGTCACAGAAAATTGCATAATTCTACAAAATTCATTTCATGTATCTACAGTATCTTTGAAAAATACTTAGGAGATTTATGTGACCGCTTTTAGGTATGAATCATTAATGCAACTAAGTGTGTGATTAATAAGAGATTGTATCCCTAATTGGCTCAACAACACATTCTTTTTAAGGCAGCACTTAGCGAGAATAACCCTAGCAAGGGATTTAGCGCATATTCCATTAATGGCATGCCCTATGTTGTTTTTCACTTAAACACCAAAAAAATGAAATACAACCGTGTCATCAAAAGACCCGTGATAAAATCAAAGAATCTTTGTTGTTGATAGTGTAAGAAAAAACTCTTTGTTCAATGGCCAAAGCTAAATACTTCATTTGAGGGTGTTGATGCAGTAGCTGTAGCAGGCTCCTCCTGTGTGTCCTCCTCCTCTGGCTCTGTTCACTCTGGACACTCTTATTCGTGAGTTCATTCATGAGGAGAGTTTTTATCAGAAACTTCCTGTTATCTTCTTTTAACTACACTTTACATGTGATGGCAGTTTGACATGTTGAAATATGAATCACTTTTCTGTGAAAGTCGCGATCACACGCTCCGAGCGTGTGGTTGATTCGACTGCACAATAAAATACAGCTGTAGCACGCAAAGTGTCAAGTATGTGGACATTATTAGTATGAAAAAGTCCTTTATTCTATCCAATGAGTTCTGAAATTGAAGATATCAGGGGATTGATTAGTGAATAGCAGAGGCGAACCCGCCTCACACTCACAATGGTCTTTAATTGAGACTTCAACAACGAAATAAGTTTTAAATTCCACATTAATGTAGCCTGTAAAGGAACTTAGCACTTCTCCATTGATGCAATTATTTCCCACAATTGTCCCTCACTGGTGCCACTAATCCCTCTTGTATGCTCTGTCATGTTGGAATAGAGCCAGCCTGAAACTAATGCTTTATGGTCCAGATGACTACAGATAGATAAAGCCATCAGCATTACACATTCCTTGGGCGCAGAGGGTTTCGACACTCGCCGAAGTCAAGTCACGCATGAAAACAGGGAAATATTTTTTTTTAAGTGTGGAAATATGCGGTTTGAACACACGTGAGTTTCATTCTTGGGGTGCGCTGTTAACATAAATCAGGTTGACACCATTTTTGTACTTGAGTGATTCTGAAACAAAGGATATTGTATCCATCTTTTTTCAATATGTATATCCTCCTGCATGAAACACTCCTGTGAACGGAGTTTGAAGTATGTCACAAATGTACAAATTACTGGGCGGATCTAATAAGAACCCACTTTAAGGGGAAAGTGCCACTTTAGGGAGGCGTTACCTTGGGAGGCGTTTTGCTAGGAAGAGCACTAATGTCTATTTAACACCCTGATGCATCCTCAGGTGTCATCGGCTACGTGCCTAGTATGGCCCATCTGTCTGCTTGCTCCTTGTAGATTGCTTCCACTCACGCTTAGGGGAAGTAAATGGTGATTAAGTGACCTTGGCACCATCCCCTGTGGCCTTGAGATGAGACACTTCTCCCTCTGTGCCGTAGGTGAGGAGATAGGAGTATTTGGGGGCTCTGCTCACTTTGCCAAGTGTTCAATATACATCATCAGGAATAATAGAGTATAATGACGTCTTGGTATAGAGACCTCTCCACTGACGACGAGCAGCACTCACGTCTTGATGATGTACATCTTTAGCCACCCTCAGTGATAATATCCTCAGAGATTACTGTGAAGAAGTGAGTCAGCAGAAGTGAGAATCCGGGCAGTGACAAACACACAGCCAGACGCCCTAACTGCACACACACACACACACGCAAAGGCACACAGATATGTATGCTTATGCAAATTTGCAGGGGCAGGCAAACACAAGCGTGCATATGGAGAGTGCACACACTAATTTCTCTGGGGCCTCTCAGAGGAGCTGCAATGTTAATGCAGTTGCAATGAGACCAGAAAAGTTTCACACTGTGCTGTATATGTAGCTTCCACCTGCTCATGCACAGAGTCTAACATCCAAAAATAGCTCATAAAGTGGAATTTAGGAGTGTTGCTAATACTCTGCAAACCCTCTTGCTCCCTCTTTCGCAATTACTTTATCCCTGCGAGAGCATTGAAAACACACCGTCAGAGCGCATTGTGCAAGCTAGACATCGGTTCTACTTATTAAAGGTGGACTCAGTTTCTCTGAAACATCTTATGCAGACTGTTTTGGCCACAGCTGTAGTCCTCTGGTCTCACTGCTGCTAAAAGTGTCCTGCTTGTTCTGTTGCAGTGCTCTGTGTTCCCAGGTCCATTAACAGACCCAGTCTCTTCTCGCTGGGGATGTGCCATTTAGCATGGGCTTCAGGAACTTTGGAGTTCAGCTTCATTAGAAAGCCACAACCTCTGTCGGAGATTACTAGTTTTTTTTTCTCCGTCTTTCTTCTTGCGCTCTTTATTCTCAGATTAATTCCATCCTTCATTCACTCAGGCACCTACTGCTTCTGTGACTACAGTGTTTGATTGTTTCACTGGTGATTTTTTTTTTCTCTTCTTCTCTCCAACAGAAAATCCAAGTATGATGAAAAACACACAGAATCAGAACAGTAAGTATTTCAGCCACAGAGTTTTGAGGGTTTTCTATATAATGCTCCTGATTCTCGCCATATCACTTGATCATCGTATTTTCAGAGATGCTGTGCGAGAACAAAATGTGAAAATGTAGTCTGTAAAATGTGTGCAGGAATCTAGCACTGATCAAAGCGGCAAATTCTTCAGGAGGCTGTGGTTTCGACGTTCACGGTATTGACAGGTGGATGTTTTTGATTCTGTCCTGAATGCTTTGCCCCAGATAGACTCGGTGAGAGTGATTCAGTCAGGATTAATCTTTGCCGATGTTCAGTAGCAGCAAGCAACAAGCCTCTTCCAGTGACTAACCGTGCCTGTCACTTTTGGTTGAGTGTGAGATTATTGGTGTTTCATATGTGCAGTGGTGGCTCATTTGCGGCTTCTGAGATTATCATATGTAAAGATGAGGGATTGTCAGGAGAAGCCGCAGGGCTGTGACAACAACCTTTCCATCTCTCCCTTTCTTCTTGCCTTTCCCTCTCTCTTTCTACCGCAATCTTTGTGTTTCTCTTTCCTTTCCTCTTCTCTGACTTTTGTACTCACTTTCCGTCTCCCAGAGCCAGCCTCTCTTTGCTGCATCTTCCATTTCTGGTTGCTCTTTTTCCTTTTGTCACTACCTAATTTCCCTCTCTGTGACTTATTCTGTTTTTCCTCCCTCCATCATATTTATTTTTCATACTTTTCCTCCAAGCCTACCTCACAATCTGTGATTTTGATGCAGATTTTCTGACACTCAGACCTTATGGAGAGTGCAGATTATGTTACAGTGTGAAAAAAAATGGGGAAAAAATCACCTCTGGCTAAACAGTTTGGAGTCTTGACAGATGGGCTTCGGACGCATTAAGTGAGTCACGACTCCCAAGGACTGAAATGAGAGTGTGACCCTATAGAAAAAGCAATCAGAGTTCAGATACAGAGGTAAGAAAGGCTGAGTCACAGATCAAGCAGATTCATTTGTATAAGTGAGACTCCTTAACTCTCTCCAAACTCAGTAAAATGCTATAGTGTAATAAAATATTGCAGGAGGTGGATACAGATCCACCTCAGAAAGCAGTTATTAGTTATTGGTGAATGTGTCCTCAATGCTGTTGTGTAAAATACTTCAGTAATGTGCACTAAATGTAAATTGTAATTTCTGTTACAATTTAGAATCAATTAAGAACCAATAAAGCACCTGTATTGTAGTAATTTCCTGCCGTCAGGTGCTGTTGATGAACTGGAAAATGTATTTGAGTGGCATAATTGCCAAGTGTATAATCACCAGTACATGTGTGTGACGCCCATGTTTGTCCCTGCACACGGAAACGCTTTGCAAGCAGATGGCAAGCGTGGCTGTCTTTAAGCTGAACCACCCAAGTCACGGCAAATATGTTCATCGTCGCAGTCCGACATGGACTCTTTTCCTGTTTCCTACCTCAGAAACATCACCTTATTTGTCCTCACGTACCATCAATTTTTCTGTCTCTGTTCCTTTTTGCCATTTGGTTGTTTTGTTTTTTTTCCCCCCTCCCATCTTCCTCTACCTTTCCCCTTCTCTGGTAGTCATATCTTACGGATGCAAATCTGAGAATGCAAATGCTATGGTAAGCACAGGAGCAGGTGTGTCACAGCAAGGACAGAATCAGGTCAGCATGGACGCGCAGACGTGCCTTTCATGCAAGTCAAATTGGTGTACAACGCAGCCCCAAGAGGTCACCTCACACGTGCGCGATAGCTTAATGGCTGAATACCGGACCGCTCGGTGTTGGTGCGAGTGGAAAGGCGCACCTCTGTCAGTCAGTCAGGGCCGTAGTAGACGAGAAACCTACACGTCCCAGGAGAGGGAATATTCATTCGTCTTCGTCTCCCGCACACCTTGTCAAGCTGCACTGTATGACTGGATTTAACAGATGAGTGAAATTGAGGACAAAGTTTGACTTTTTTGCCACATAATACTGTCCCTGTCAGCCTAGGCTGATGGAAGCATCAAACATTTAGGGTTGTCATCTTATTGTGGGGAATGAAACCTCTTAGCTGAGAGGCAACGTTATAGCAGAATTCCTAACACCACCTTACACATGAAACTCTCTGCAGGTGGACTTTGCATTCACAGAGTCAAAAATAGAAATGCAAAGAGAGACAGAAGCTTGTAATCAAGTAATCTGCATGTTATCTGTTATTTTCCACAGTGCCATGCAAAATTCGAATTGAAACGCTCTTTCAGAACAGAGGTCAGATCAGAGACAGGAACCAGACTGGTAGGCTTACAGACAGATGTGTCACAGCTACTGTCAGAAATGTCAAGTAGGTTTCTAAAGCCACCTAACTGGACTTAAACCTTCTTTAGAGTCATCGTTTGCATGATGTCATCTGGCATTTTAGGTCTGGCACATCTAAGGTAGGAAGTCATCCTTCATTAAAAGATTTTTTAAAAGAAGGTGGAAAAAAGGAAAAAAACATGTTGCCACAGAAATCAGTCCCAGTTGTCCAAAAAAAAAAAAAAATCAGGTTGGCAGAATTGCACAGAGGTCTGAGCCAAAAACTGAAGGCAAACAGATGGCTGGGCGACTTGCATCTATGATTATAGACTGGAAGGGGACCTCAGATGATGATCTTATGGTTGGATGAGCCCATTACCAAATGAGATGAAGTACTTATTGAAAAGATCCAGTTGTTATTGTCTAATGTTGTATGACTTTGCATATACAGAGCGGAACATGATGTATATGAAATGTCAGATTGTATAGTTCTGCTGAGATTCCTGTTCATTAGAGAGTCATCGGGAATTGGCAGTGCTGATTAATTTAAACAACCCTGCCAAACATACGATCCAACTGTTTGTGATCCAACACATAATAATACGTTTAACATTTGTCAGCGGGCCCATCATTCAGACTCACTGGACTGCTTTACCTGGCAGGTCTAACGACTACCAGATCAGATTTTGAATGTGAGTCTAGCCACACCCCGATGAGGACAGCCCTCCTACTCACTCGTGATTACTCGTGTAGCAACAGTCTTGGCACGGTCTGGACAAACTGTTGGTCATGTCAGCAAAAGACACACCCAGAGGCAGTCACAACTCTCCTCCCATGTCAGCTCCAATTCAACAGTCCTCTCTTTAAGATATCCACAAGGGAGCTACAGAAAACAATCGCAGCATAAAGCTGGTGTCATTTCCCATCACATCTGTATAATATCACGTCCTGTGGTGGCCTCAGAATGACACATGCAAACACTGAAAAAAAAAAAATTAAAAAGTAGGGTTCACTTCACAGATCTTTGTAACTAAACTGCACCAAAGTTCACATGGAGACATTTTTTTGAATTGCTTCTGCAGTGGTAACACTATACTGTATACTATTATCATGCACTTCAAAGAACCACACAGAGTAGATTTCTCATTAATGAATGCAATGTATACAGAAACAGTTGCATTGCTGTCACTCACAGAGCATAAAGTCACTGTACAGTTGCAATCAAATTTATTCAGCCCTCGCAACCTGCAAGATATTATAGTGATTTGCATAAAATTTTATGAAAACGTGTCACCTAAAGCCTCAGTAAACAGTCAAAGAAAGTTTGATAATGCATATTTGAGTGATTTGGGAAACACAATGAACACAAGAAAACTAAGAATAAAAAAAAATCTGCAGAAAGAAATGTAAGCAAAATTATTCAGCATGCAAAGTCAGTATTATATAATGATATTCTTTGATCTTTAACCTCCAATAAATGTTTCCAGGAGTTTCGCACAAGCTTCTGACACCTTTCTTTTAGATTCCTAGTCAAATCCTCATGTGCAAAAACTTCCAGCTCACTAAATGTCTTCACTGCCAGAGCTGCTACTGCTTTCTTTAAATCTCTGATTTTCAATGAGATTCAAGCCCTGAGACTGAGATGGCCAGGCAATTCCAGGAGCAATTTCTGAACCAAGCTTTGGTTGACTTGGACTTATGCTGGGGGATCAAGGGCCTGGTATTTCAAAGAATCCATGATGACAGTCATGGTCAATTTTACCACTTACTGCAGCAGCAAAACGCCCCTTCAACAGGACGGGCCCACCGCCATGCCTGACTGTGGTAGTGGTGGTGGTGATGGTGTTCTACGCACATAGGCCCTTCCTCCTTCTTATTTTTTGTAAACTGTTGCTTTTTTGGAGTACTACCCTCTTCTTTTGAAAAAAAAGCTCTTTTGTTTTTGCCATGTTTTCTACACAGCTTGAACACCTGCAAAGATAGAATATATGTCCTGTATCACAGCTGAAGCAAATTCAGTGTTGTTATATACTTCCCAAAAATTGAATTGCATTCTGCCAGCTCTTTGTTGCCTTACGTGCCGGTGTGCTATGTTACTGGGTATCAGAAATATCCTGCAGCTCAGAAAGCCCCCACTACACATTTCCATTATTGATTTGATTATGTCACTCAACTCAAGTGTAATTTATACACGTAATTTCTAAACCACCAGAAAGGCTTTAATGTGAGAAACGCTTTAAAACTCAGCAGGGTTGAACAGTGATTAATTGATGAATTGATTGCAACTGTACCTCCACTGACTTCTGGGAAATTTAGAGAGGAAATCTTTCTTTGTTGGAGTAAAGTCTGTGTCTTGAAATACTTCACCACTGCAAGTAAATGGAACTAGAGGAAACTATTGTACAAAACATTCTTTTACCAAGGTACATTTATTATTTCATTATAAATCATCAAGTAACTTAAAATCTTCCCAGTAAATGTTATGTATAAAATAAAAATAAGTTTTTCTTCAGTTTTGTCATGGCTGTCAAGGGCAACTCAAGGTTGCCAGACGGGGTCGTACACTTTTTAATTTGATTGTTGCTTTAATAGAATTAAAGCAGAGAGTCCTTCCTCATTGAAATCACTTCACAAAAATGACTTGTGTTATTGTAAAACATTTTGAGTACTGGTTTAATTCAGTACTAAACAGGTGCACAGTAGTTTACTTTAAAACAACAAATAAAATATGACCTTGTTGAAATGATAATTAAAAGGCTCTAATTGGCTGTTTTATTTTTGTTGTTTTGTTTCAGATGAAGCCTCTCGCACGGACGTGCTTGGACTAACGTGGATGGCACTTGTCCTCACAGTGACAGTGGAACTGACGTGAAACCTCTCACCCAAGACACTCTTACTCACCAACACACATACTTGCCCTTCTTACGCAACATCCACATATGCACACACACACACACACACACACACACACACACACACTCTCCACAGTCCCGCAAGCCTTCTCCAGTCATCAACAGACCCTCCATACGTCAGTCGATCAGGAAACAGTGCCACCACACGATGGCGCTTTCACTGTTTTTTGTAACAAAAATAATAACCAAGATAATGATATTAAAAGAACAACATGATGAACATGACAGTAACCACCTCCTATATAGCCCTGCCCAGTTACACCTTTTTTTGTTTCTTGTCCCACGTCTGCCTGTTGATCAATAAAATCAGTTGATTTGAAACGGAAAAGAAAAAGGCATTTGGATTTTATTTTTGATGAGTCAAAATGTCATTGGTGTTGACTGAAATGTGAAAAAAAAAAAAAAAAAGGAACTGGCTCAGACTGTGCCACACTATCGACCACACCCCGACGGTCACATGTCCTGGGATGCAACTGATTAGCAACAAGCTGATAAACCATGGGAGAACAAAAAAAAACAAAAAAAAAAACACAGATGCTCCAAGACAACCTTCTTTTTTTTTTTTTTTTATCAATATACAAGTTTCTTTTTTTCTTTTGTTTTTTCCCTGATGGCTCGGAATGTACAAGAGGATTTAAATGCATTGAGAAACTAGAAGAAGAAGAAAAAAAAATAATCTCATTTTTGAGTGTATTTTGTGTACATCAGTGTAAATACTAAAAAAAATAATTAAATAATTAAAAAATAAAGAAGCTATATGGGTTAAGGCGAGGGGTGGGTGCTGAGACAGTTGGAGTTTACACTTCTCCACCTTTGTTTGTACTTCATTCAACACTGTTTTCAAAGATAATTCTTGGCTGAATGGACGGAAACATTAACAGCCTTTTTGTTTCTCATTTGGGCTTTTTATATCTATATGGCAGGTCTCCAAGGACAGACTAAAAAAGTATCTAACATATGTCTGCTGTTTTGGGGTTGTGGTGCATGTGACGTTTGAAGATTCTTTCTCCTTTTGGTGTGTTGCTATGGACAGCACTGCAACTCATTGTCACTGGCCTGTAATCCAGTTATTTACTTGTGACATACTATCTTAAGTGACCTACATTGTGAACAATACGTAACTCTTACCCAGACATTTACAGTACTAGTAGGATCATTTTAGCCGCCATCCCAGGGAGGAGCTCACCTGAGGCAGCTTGTGTAAACAGGGTTGTTGCATTTGTTTCATTTCACCTGTATTAAAATGGAGAGATGATAAAACTCACAAGCCTTGACTTTACTTAAAACAGCTTTCCACATCTTCCTGCCTCCTTTAAAATGCTGGGAACATGTAATATACAGCATCTAATACTGCACACATCTGCTAGACTTCATGGTTGCAGGAATTGTTTACAATCTAATTTGATTTTAATCCCATCATATCAGGGAAATTTGAAAACAAAACCTATGCCAGGAGACATAGTATTAATTCCTCTTCAGAGACGAGTTCCAAAAATTGCTTTTAGATATTTCTGATTGTATCGCCCTCAACATGGCTTTTGGAGGAGAGTCTGACATTGTTGTTAACCCTTTGCAGTCTCTCACTGAAGGATAGCTTAATGCAGAGTAATCCTGCATTTTTTGGACTTCACAAGAACTGCAATTTAAGCTATTCTAAGGACACAACATGTATTAAGGGATTAGGGTTTAAACCAGGTGGGAGGTAAGGGGGGAGATTTTTAAAGCTTAGTTGAATAGAAGGGATAGACCTATCCGTTTGGGATATCAGCTCACCTTGCCAAAGTACAATCCATATTCCTCCCATATTCTGGAGATGAGAGCTGCATAGCACAAACATTATTAACAGACAGTCATATGCGCTTTGAATTATTTCTTCTTTTTTTTTTCCAGTGAGGGAAGCAAAGGGCACAAATCCTTGTCCACCCACCATATAGCATTATAACTCAACTATCAATGTAATTTTTATTCAAGAGGCACTTCTGTGCTTTTTGCTGTTATCACTCACTCCACATTCTAAAGAGAAAAACAGGTCCATTTTTGAATGCATTAGAATGTGCGAGGAGAATGTGCAAATTGTCTTTATATGATTTAATCATCGCGCCAGAAGAATTGCACCATAACTGTGTGTGTGAGTGTATACGTATGTGATATTATTGTCCACAAATTAATTGTATGTATGAACACTTCATGTAACTTCAAATTCACAACATTAGGTCAAAGCTGTCCTGGACCAAAATGATCCATCAGGCAATAAATGTGACGCTTTTAAATATGTGGCTTTATTCCCTTTTTCTGTTATATCCATAGGAAGTCACCCCTGCTCTCATTTAGTCTTGTTATTACATTTAATTGTGAGCAGACTGGACAACCTTTATGTATAAATTTGAGCCACGGTCGTCTTATTGCTCATTCTTTTATTTTCCTAACAAATTAATAAGTTAATATTGTGATGGTGACACAATAAAAAGCTTTATTTTTTGTGTTTAACTGACTACATACCTTCTCAACCTACCTTGCCTCACTAATTTGTTCAGTTATTACCGGAAAAAGCAGGAAAGATCTGTTAAAGAATGTTTTTGGTGCCTTCTGTTCTTGTCCACATGCTGTGCACCCATCATGGATGGCATAAGCAAGAAGAGGTGAAAGTGTCTCCACACAACAATGCACATAGTTGACAGTCATGCTTTTTTTTTCTGAACAGTGTTCTGAATAGTTCACCTGAGCTGGGAGCAATGGTGAGGATAAGAAGCTGCTTCTATAGTCCATTTGTGAATTATTCAGCAGTCAGCCATGCTTGCAGAATCCGGTTTCCTTTTTGTTGTCTGCAGGCTTGGCTATCGGATGACCAAACAGCGCCCATGTCAGACAGGACACCTGACACACCCTCTGTGTGAGCCTCCACGTGATGCATCTTTACAATGCTCAACAGAGTGTTGTTAAAATAAACACTGTTTTGTTGTTGACCGCAGCCTCCCTCCAGCGTGCTATGATCACACAAACGACAACTTGACGGACCCGACTGAGTGGCACAGCGCCCATGTAACTGAAATACATGTTTGCATCTCAGTATGATACATGGAAATGAATTGTCAGGTTTCTACGCAGACACTTGATCCATTGTGTTTTCATTCTTCGGATGGTTATCTGCATGTATCTATGTGTTTATAATACCATGCCAGTGCCATTTAAGTGTCTGATAGTAATCTTCAACTTCTTCTGAAGAGAGAGAGTAATTTAAGCATCTGTGCTGGCATGGAGAAGAACCTTTGATCTGTGGTATAGCTATGCAAACAGATGTATCCTGGTTATTAAGTATTTGAGAAATGTCACCTGTCATCACTCTCCACCCCTTATTCAAACCAATCTTCCCCTCCTGCGGCTCCAGATGTATGTTTGTGCAAGTTATGGAGTGTTATCTGTCATAATAATTTGGACAATATTTTCATAAACTGACATAATAAAGTATGATTTAAACCACTCCTGTTCATGTAAATACCAAGCCAAAGATGCAGCAACAGCAACATATCTCAAATAAAGTTGGGATTGGAATGTATCCCAAGAAATTATTGACCAGAGTCCTTAGATGATGTTTGGATAGTTATGGGAAAGGCTTAGGTGAGTCAGCAAATTGCATAGTCAAATATTGATCTTTAGGATATTTACATGTTCTGTGTGTGGTTGCTGAAACTACATCTAACCTGCCACAGGTGGTGCATGAAGAATGGTCCGCCCCTAGAGAGCCAGGGATGCAAATAGCCCTTCGAGAGCTATCATTTTACACTTGATCCTTTGGGCAAAGAGACGCAGTCATCAGATCACAGCAGCTCTTTTACAATGAAAAGCAGACAGCTACAGCCGGCCGAGGAGCATTGAAAATTACATTCAATAGGATCAGTCAACCGGCCATTGCCAGCATCACTGCTACAGCTATGCCCATTGCAGAGCTTTTGGGAGTCCAGTTCGACATGCAGCTGCTGCTGAAACTTAGTGTCTCTGTAGCAGCAGTACTGCTGGTTTCCTGGGCCTACAGATTCTACAGTTCCAGGAATGTGAAGAATCCTCAACTCTGTGCCGCAGACAGGAAAGGGCCACAAAATGCAACCTGTCAAAACTGCAAGACGACATTACAACGTAAAAGCTCACCAAAACACGACAAGGATGATAAGGACAAGCAATCCAAACCCTTGCACGCGGACTCAGCCACTGATGACCTGACATCTGACAGCACCAAGGAAATACCGGCAGAAGCTCATCCACACCAAGTTGAAAAGAGTGATGATGCATTTAGTGCATCAAATAGTGACCAAGATATCAGAATGAAAGGAGAGATACTCACTCATCGGAAGCAGGCACAGGTCCCCACCAGAAATATTTCATCTGGACCTGCTTTGAACCTTTCTGATCCAACAGAGAGTGGGATGGCCAGTACAATGGGGCGCCGCTCCCCTTGCTTTTTGCAGAAGTTGGAGAGCAGTGTGGGTGTGGGCAGGGAGTTAAGGCAGGACTTGGAGCACCAGGGGGCCTACTCCAGCTTCCTCTCCAAGGCAGAGATCAAAGTGGAGGACGCTAACGTAGTGCTGGAAGGAGCAGGGGACCAGATTGTGCGTGGAAAGATATATGATTACTATGTTGAGTCTTCCTCTCAGTCCATTACAGATATAAACAATGTGACTGGTCAATATGAGAAGAGCTCTGAGTCAGGGCCAGTGGAATATGGAAGCCGTGGCAGCAACCTCACAGAGTCTCCTTCCTCTTTAAGCCCCATCATTATGCGTGATCTGGTTTTACCACAAAGCACTGTTGAGGATGCCGCCTCACTAGGAAGCCTCAAGCTGAGGCACCCCGCAAGGCCTGTACTCCTACGCAAAGAGAGCTATCTGTCTGCAGCAGAGGAGTCTGAGCTTTCCATCCCTTTTCTAACTTCAAGAGCCTCAACTCCAATGACTCACTCTCTGGCCTCAGCCGGCGATGAGTCTATCTCTGTTCACCCTGTCAGCAGTCCCTCCACGGACTGCAAAGGCCTTAATACAAGGGAGGGGGTTGATCTAGAGACTCTAGCAGGGGCTCCATTTTTACACCTTCCAGCAAAAATCCCTGATGATACAGATTTCGAAATCCTAAAGAGCAAGCTTGATCTGGGTAACTGTTTGGAGACACTTTACCTGGCCAAGAAACATGGACAAAAGACTGTGCAGCAAGCAGCCCTGGGGGTCATGTCAGACAACTACCTTCAGGTGCTCAGGGACCCCAACCTTTATGGTCGGCTAATGGCTGATGAGCGGGAGAAAATCCGGAAGCAGAGGATGATGGGGAGAAAGTTTGTCATGGTTGCAGACATGGACCCTCAAGACTGGGTAAGAAGCAAAGAGGGGCAGACAGGGCAGAGGAGGATGTCCAGTGCAGTGTATTATTATGATGACTACAAAGATGTCTGGCATACACTCTGCCTGATCCCACAGGAGGTCATCTCTAAAGCCTGTGCCATGTGCACAATGGATAACTACTTATTTGTGGCATTAGGCTGCCAAGGCACAGACAGAGAAATGACACCGTCAAAGCGAGTGTTTTGCTACAATCCCTTGACATCCATCTGGAAAGAGATCAGTCCCATGAATGAAGCCAGGCCTCGCTGCAAACTGGCAGCACTGGAGGGCTACATATACGCCATCGGAGGGGAGTGCCTCTCCTCGGTGGAGCGCTATGACCCACGTTTGGACAGATGGACATTTGTGGCTCCGCTGCCTAATGATACATTTGCTGTGGCGCATCATGTCACAGTGTGCAATGGGGAACTTTTTGTGTCTGGGGGTTCTCTTCGATATATGCTGTTGCGCTACACCCCTAAAACCAACACCTGGAGGCCAAGTCTTGTAGTAGGCACCAAAGACAGAACTGCAGATATGGTGGCTGTGGGGAGATTTCTGTATCGGTTTGATGTTAACCCGCTGCTGGGTGTCAGTGCATACCGATACCATACAGTGGCTCGACTGTGGTATGAGTGCAGCTCCAAGCGGCTTCTGCGCTGCCCTGCTTTCCAGTGTGTCACGATGGATGGCACAATCTATTGTGTCAGCCGCCAGTTCACTATGAAGTTCGAGGCTGATGAGATCTCCCCTGCTTTCATAGATGAGGATTTGAGTGTCCTATCTGCAGCCAAGGGCATACTTTTCCCCTTTGTCCTTTCACTACCTGATAAGAAGCCTCGGCAGACAAGTGTGTAACAAGGATTCCGTTTTCCATTGATGATAAGATTACATGGTGATTGAGTATACCTTCAAGAGGATGCTTTACATCAAGTTTATTGTTGACTGAGTGGGTTTTCTTTGGTCAGGTTTATGTTCCACCTAGCTCAACCCCAAATGTTACTGCAAAATTGTAACCACTATGCTGTCATTTCTTTGAGATGTTATTAAGATCTCTTTTCCTGAAAAGCCACAAAGCTTCTGTTTCTTAATCAACATTATTTTTCTTGGATTGGATATTACACTAAGAATTGTGTGTTTCTTATGTCTCATCCTTGGCAGTAGATGTAAAGTATTAGTCTCGTAATGGTAGTCAAACTACTGTTTGCTTAGATTTACACAGGGTGTGCTGCCATGTAAATTGTTTGCTTCTTTGATTTGCCACTCCCTCCTGCCATTATGTTGGTTTTATATCATCCCAGATGCTTAACCTCTTTACTGTAAAGCTAATCCATTATAAAGTCTCAGAGTAAATTAGTTCATCCAACTCTAACTCACAGAGAGTGGGCAATATAGTGATAATCTATTACTGTGTTCTGTTGTATAGGGCACAAATATAACTTACACAGTGGCCTGGATACAATGCAATTATCTACAGTTGCTCTTTAAGTATGACAGGGTGTAAATGGGTATGTCATATAATATGAATAGGTGAGCTTCTAAAGCATTTGTCTCTGCATTTGAAACTCTTCCAACACTCAGACTTGAAATTATTTTTATAATTCCAGTCACTCTCCTTTGGTGGTTGGAAAAAAATGGATTTGTTTTAATCTTTTCTGAGCAGATTCTTTGTTCATTGCACCAATTAAATGTCTTTACTTTGTTATGTATTGTTTTATAAACAACAAAGAAACATATGAATTTGTCTTTCATTGCACATTAATCCACAATTTATGACTAATGGTTTTAAGCCAATTGTCTATTCCACTCTTTGTGCTACTACCAGAAATAGAATAACACAAGAACAATCTAAACACTTGCGGTTTATTTTAAAGTGTTGATTACATTAACAATTGAAATATGCATAATAATGAGTCAAATATTAAATCCCTCATTGTTTGCTCATTTTACAATCAAGTCTCTCACTGTACAGACTGTAAAGCTGAGGACTTCAAAGATTCGGAGAGTGACGTGCTGCTATAGCACCATCATGTGGCTCAGGCAGCAAACACAGTGGTGCTGTGCGTAAGACGTGTTGTGTTGCAGACCTCCCATAACACAGATGTGTCATGTGACACACAGGCATCAGCAACACAGCAAAGTGACTAACTAGCTAACAGTGGGTGAAACAGAGCTGCAGTGGAAGGCAGCAGGCAGGCAGGAAGAAAGGAGGCAGACGCAGATGGTTGACCATCAAACATAAGCATCTTTGATTCTTCCTAATTAAACACTTTGATTCCCTGTAATTAAACACCTAATGGAATGGGAGTTAGACACATCCCTTCAGACATTGCCTGGGATGACTCATGGCTTCTGGTTTGCCTCAATACCCAGGTCAGTTCTAGCATCAACACTTGTTTCATTTATATTTTTTCTTTTTCTTTTTTTTCCACAGAGCGTCTAGTGTAATACTAACCCATTCTGAGTTTCACATATTAAGTGTGCAGACACAGAGAGAGAATTTGCATGCAATTATTCTCTGGAAGGGTGGACATAATTTATAGCCCCCCTTATTTCTCCCACTCGCACACAGACACACACCAGTTCATACATATATAAACACTGAAACTACTCATCACACAACACGCAGCACATCCACAGTGTTCCTTAAACATAATGAGAATCATGGTTAATGTTTTAGTTCCATTTGATTTCCCAAACGGTCGGCTCAGTTAAAAATTTTCGGGCTGCCAATTAATACAAAATAGGAGCCACAAAGCAGCATAATTTTGAGCAAAGCTTCTAAATTAACAAGCGGCATATGAGGCAATTCAAAAGCCACACTCTTGTCTCTAAGCCTGTTGTAATGGCGGAAATAGGCTGAAACAATGATCTGGGACTTGTAGGAGTGAGCGCTGTCTCAGATCCAGGTCCTTGTTGTTGTGATTGGCTGCATGGAGGTGGCTGGAGAGGCTGTGTGAAGCTCTGGCAAACCGGCTTTGGCTGAGGGTACTAAGTGGGTGCCTCTGGTATGCTGACCTGTATACAGTCAGGAATTGGAGGTGTGGTTGCTGCTTTTCGAAACGGTGATTTGTGGACTGCAGTGGGCCAGAGTTGGTTGGAAGGGCTGTAAAAGAAGAGAAAGTTAACTGCCATGTTACTGCAGCCATTAATTACACTGGTGACTGATTTGGAACAATAAAAGGCGTCTGGGGCCACCCTGATTTGACTGTTCATGAGCACGACTGCTGACGTGTTTTGTCTGTGCAAAATTTAATGCGCTTAAGTAACTTTGAACCACACTCACACCCCTAGTAAACGGATTGCTTAATATGCATTTCCCATGTATGTGCCTGTATGTGGCATTTTAAGTGTGGGCTTACCAGAAATGGGCCGGTCCGACTTCTCAGGCTGCCACGTCAAGTTGTCTGGATGCCAGGGTTGCAGGGTGGGTAAAGCATTGGTATGCTTATTATGCCCATAGTTTTCTTCATATTCCGTGACCAAATAATGTGAGGATGGAGGGTCAGAGTGGAAAAACAGCATCCTGGAAGGAAGCTCCTGCATAGCAATACACAGGAGTTATGGTACGCCTGTATGCTGTGGCCTTCACTGGATTAAGATATAGAGGGCATGGCCTATTCTTTTTCAATAATCTTCAAGAGACTCACTATGTGACAGCAGCAAATTGCTCTAACTAGCCTTTAAGTACCCAGGAGGACTGATGATTTTACACATTTTTCATGACTGCTGAGTCTGACCAGAAACTTGCTTTCATAAAGAGTTTTATCACAGGCCTTTATCTTGGCCATCAATATTATGCAGAAGTGTCCACAATCTAGAGAAGAAAAGCCTGACTTGCAGGCTTGTGACAGGCATTCAATTGGTGTTAATGCCACGAATGAGCAGTTAAAGGCTGACCTCAGCTCTCAGCAAGGCAGATCTTCTCTCAGAGATGTCTGGCTGGAAGTCCCAGTGGGGCTGGTAGTCTACGCGACTGGTGCTGTTGGCTATCTTTGGCTCCCGAGTGAACTGCGTCGGATGGAATAAACAGATATCAGAAAGAGGAATGAGGAAGGGTGGGATACACAGGGACTTCAGCAACGGGCCCAGCACAAGGATCAGCAGAGCTCACACTTGGCTATCGATCCACACCGCTGTACAGTATTTCTTAAGTCATTTCTCCTCTCAAATCCTGAACCAGCAGCCCGTGGCCGAACCTCACGTCAATGCAATTAGTCTCCAGCTCTAGCCTCTCCCAACAGGAGGCTGTGCTGATGTAGCTGAACTGAGGCTGCCTAATCACTTTGCTATGGATTTGACTACCAACTGAGGTCCTACAAAACCCTTGGCAGGTTGCCACTGGTATGGCAAAATGTTTTGGATGCGGTAAAAAAAAAAAAAAAAAGGTGTAGATAGTCTGTGTTCTCACATTCAACTGAAGTTGTATGTTTAAATCAGAAAATCTTTTTTTTAGTACTGCAGCATATTCTGCCCTGTGTCCTTGCCTGTTTATAGCATTTGGGAAAATGTTACATTATTGTACAAGTGAAAAAAAGTGCAATAGGCAATAAACAGACCAAATGATTACCTGGAGTCTGTCTTCAGCCCAGTTGCCCAACAGCACTTTGTTGGCATACTTCCGTTCTATCTTCCATCCAGTTTGGGCCCATTTATCCTGCGCCGCGACTTTTTGGTTCATACTTCCGTTGCTGTCAAACACACCGAACTGGGGAAATCTGAAGCCCTGTTAGAGCAAGGTTAACTAGTCAAACAGATAGCTTGTAGGTGTATTCACCTGACCCCATAATGCCACAGGCAGTGGAGGGGAAATGGAGCTCTGTTGCCATGGATACAGCAAACACTGAAGGGAAGGCAAGCAGACTATCCTGGAAGCAAATGGGAGATGTCTTACATCTTCGTTAAAAAGAAATACATTCCTTAAGGCTAGGGCATGACATTTAGCAGTATACTCTATATTGTTAAAATGTTGCCAAGAAATGTTTCCAGACTTTATGTCTTCGGGCTACTTTTCATTTTTGGAATAAAGCAGGTTTTGCTTATTGACTTGTGTAGGGAGGATTGTCTTTTGTGAACAGTGCAATGTTAATGAAGAACACTGGAGGCAAATTTGTTTATTAAAATGTAAAACAAGATTGAAAGTTGAATAAAGTTTATTTTAAGAGCCTATTTCTGATCTTCACAGTGTTTTTACATAGTCAACAGCACTATCCACGACCCGCAGTGCAGAGGGAAAGCTGAGCCAGCCCTGGTTAAAAAAGTTAAGCATGCCGTGAAAACCGTCCACCACATGTTGCCAGGTGACATTCATTTCCAAGTCCAGCAGCCGTTTCCTGTAAAGAATCCCATCATCCCTCAGGATGTCATACTCGCAGGTGAGGATGAAGGTTGGCGGGGTTTTCTGAATAATAGAATCGTCCGCCAGTAAAGGTGAGACCTCAGGTTCTAGACCGGCTTTGATTGTGTGATACACTTCCGCATCATATTCTGCGGCTGGGGGCTCGCAAAAACCTCGCTTGAGGAAGTCAGGAGGTAAGTTGGACGGGGAAAGCCAGTCTTCATAGCGTGACCTGAGCTCAATGGGGACATGGTTCCCTTCCAGCACTTCTTGGCACACAGACATGTCTCCATTGAGGTACTGCAGGAAGTAGAATGCCATCCGGCCACGAAACAATATGGGCACAGCATGATTTTGCTGGTATGAGGGCAGGTTGAAATCTGCCATCTGCAGGGCTGGGTAGATGAGGACCTGAGCACGAGGGAATGGCAGATGTCCGTTCTCTCTCCTCGCCAGCCTTTGGCACAGTGCTGCTGCCAGGTTAGCCCCAGTGCTGTCCCCTCCGACTGCCACTCTGTTAGAGTCCACGCTGAACTCTGTCTCAGCCACAGACAGAAAGTGACAGGTTGCTGCCTCGCAATCATCCAGCTGGGCAGGGTACCTGTGCTCAGGGGCTAATCGGTACCTAAGAGGGGTGAAAGGGAAGACAGAGGGACAATATATTCAACAGTGGCTCTTTGGTAAACAAAAGAGATCTTGGATATTTATGTGCAATGTGGAAAAGGTTTAGATACCCGACAGAAATCACTGTGGTGTCAGATTCCTTGGCGATGTGCCGACAGACTTCATCAACAGAATCTGCTCAGGAGTAGTGGGATATAACGGTTAACAAAAGCTGCTGTGGACTGTAGACTGGAAATAACAATTCTCGATCCATTCCTTATCTCATTTTCTGTATTCAGACTGCATTCTCAGAAATGACAAGTACTATATTTAATTCAACTACCATATTAAATTCAATTTTGTAGTCCTTCTTTGCATTTGTGTATTTCTAATCCTCCACTTCATCTCAAAGATAAATACTGTATTTTTTTGCTGATTGTCTAGGTTGCTGTTATTTTGCTCATAGATACTTAGCATTCAAAACTAAACATTTTAGGTATTTGAAATTTAAACTATTTAAAATCAATTGGTAAACATCAAACTACAAATATATGACTTCAGCACCAATGAACTTCTTTGTAAATTAGTATTTATGTTTCACTTGTGTGGTCACGTCATTACTGAGTGCAACTGTACAACTGAGGACTTTTACATGTAATTTATCATTTTTATTTAATTTTACTGATGTAAATGATCTGAACATCGTGTACCTATACTGCCCAGCACCCATCCTCCTCCATGGAAATACACAAGGCCTCTTCTCAAGCCATCACACACAGAGGTGGGTTCATATACTCGCACTGGCACCTCAGAAAACTTCATGTCCTTCACTCGCAGACCTGCGGGAACTTGTTTCAAGCGAGTCAGAAAACAGGCCACGAACCATCGAATGAAGGTAACCTGATGACAAATGCCCAGGCGATGTAGGATCCGACCCTGGCAAAGAGAAAAACCACAGACTTACCACAAATGGGAGACAAGGTTAGGAAAAAAATAAAAAAAATCTTGATGGGTAAAGTCGAAATCAAGGTTATTCTGTCTGAGACACCATATTTACTATGACAACATCAAAGAAGGTGAACATATGACTTTGTGTTTCTTTGCACCTTTGGTAGACGTGATTTCTTATCTAAAATTTCTCTGATCTGAGCTTTATCAGGTGCTGGAGGACAAAGAAAGGACAGCCACACACGGCCTGAAAGAGTAGAGTTCATTGTTTTTCATCCTCCACAAGAGACATTTCGTGTAATAATCTAAAGTCTAAAGAATAAGTTTCATATTACAGAAAAAAAAAGTTTATTATAACATATAGCATGCGGAAAACAAAAATAATAAGCACTAACACTTCCACAGATACTCACCACAATTGCCATGCCAACAAACAAGCCATGAACCATGTGCAGCTTCCCACTATTTGCAACCCCACGAGGAATGTCTGAATTCATCAGCTCGGAGTAAACAAGTCCAATTACCAGAAGGAAGAAGGCTGCAACAAGAGCAGCGAAGCCAATTATTAAAATTGCCGAGCCGATGTCCATGGTGTTGCTGGTCTGCTCTGCCGAAGGTAAGTCATTAGGAGTAAATGTTTTATCTACCTGCTTTCAGCCTCTTTCACTCCTCCCACATCTGCCTGCACTGCATTCTGACCTTGAGTTTCACTTAATGACATTTTTAGCCGCCTGTTGCCCAGGAAAAATAAATATATTCCTCAACATATTTTGTGGCTGTGTAGTCAAACTAATTACATGTTTCCCAAAGAAGCCACATTTCTTCTAATATGAAGTATTACACAAAAACATTTTCATGTCAATAGAGCAGTTTTTAAATTACCCACACATTTCCACAGTGCCCATTAAGTTGCTTCTCAGTCCCCGGCAACAGTTTCACAGATATCTGAAAGATGCAATGTTTTTTCCCCAGCCTTTTTTTTTTTTTTTTTTTTTATCCTCTGCTCTCGACACAGAGCGGCATTTTCATTGTCTGGTGTCTGAGGGATGAATATGTTCCGAGAAGCTCCCGGTGAAGGCTGAAAACACCCTTATCTGAACTTTCACTGCTGATCTGTAGATGGCAGTGATAGCATGAGTATAAATAAACAGCACCTTCAGAAATATACTATATTTAAATTTCTGCGTTCTGCGTGCAGCCTAAACCCATTTGACACTCACTTTAGTGTATATTGTGTTTTCTGTTGTTGTTGTTGGGTTGTTTTTTTTTTTTGCAAATCCACTAACTTGTATTTAGCCTCACTTTAGCTGAGATTACTTTGGTATAAGCTTTACGAAGCATCTTGACTTTGTGTTCATATTTTGTAAATCTCAGAAATTTCCAAAAATGAAAACAGCATCTGGAGTCATGTTGTCCTGGAGTTTTTTTAGCAGCTCCCAAGAGCCTCTCTGCCTTCTCTAAGTAGCTGAGCCCAGCACAAAGCAACCATTGTGAAGCTGCTCTTTAAATCCATCCCAGTTGCTGAAAAAGCCCTGCATTCAGCGATACCCAGTAAAAATCACAGTGCCAGGGCCAAACATCACAGACTGGAATCTTGTCTGAGGCCCATGAATTCATAGGATTTGTTTAAGAGGTATTCATGCAGTTTTCTGTTTGTCATCGTGCCAAGCTTCTGAGACTGGCTTGACCTATTTCCCAAATTGCACTGTCACACACACAGAAAGATATAGCCTGTTTCACAAATACTGCCGCCACAACAAATTGGGTTCAAACAACTATGGGGCTTTACACCTACAACTGGAGACCACTACAAATGTGGGGACGGACAGATTTTTGTACAATCAAGTGGAAACACATGTTCTATCTGGTGTCATTTAAACCCTACCCTGTTTGTAAAACTGCAGACAAAACCATTTGCTTTCATTTATTTGAACCTTTTGACTATAGTGAAGCACTAAGGCTTGATTTTTACACGTGTCGTGTGGCTGCAAATGTGTTAGCAGAGGTTGTCAGCATAACAATATTGAGGATGTTATGAGTGAAATCAGATTCACAGGCACATCACATGATTTATACCATAACATTTGAACCTAAATCTATCCATCTATGTTTTTAGGATGTAAAAAAAAAAATAGTGCATTTGAGCTGGCATTGAAGTAAAGTACTATTTTTAATACATTTTATTATTTGCCTTTCTGCCTTGGTGATGGCTTTCGATCAACTTGGGATTACCCCCTTTTATTTTAACTCAGGCTAAAGCACCACTGTTTGATTTAACGCTCCTTTAACACTGTGGCCTCATGTCCACGTTTCTTCAAATTGGATTACAGAGTAAAGAAGAGTTACATAAATTGGAAAAAAATGGAAAGCTGAATTTTCTTAAAATGAAGTCACAGGAGTGTACATTTGAGAGGAATCAAATGATTTAAGTACATATAACTTGAACCAGCTGCATGAATATTACTTGTTAACTCAATTTGGATCAGCTTAATTGAGTTGTGTGTGTCACCAAATGAAGGAATTCATTTAGACTGATCCAATAATTCTCTTTTTCCAATGTACCAGGCCCAGTTGTCAGGTTTGTGTTTGTTTAGTACTTAGCTGATGGTTTGTTTGCTTATTTGTTTTACTTAATTAATTGAGTGGCTGGCAAAGGACAGTAGATGAGGTTTCTGAGGCATGTTTATGAAGCCCCAGATCCCTCCATCTATTGCACAAGAATATTTCTGTCAGAGATTGTGCTAGTCTGCGATTAAGTGATGTAACTATGAAGTTTAACTTTCCCCAAAAGAGATTGGGCACCCACCTGGGGGCACGCACAGTAGGGCCACTGGGGGGGCCCTGAGCCGCAGATTGAGAAACACCGCTGTAGACACACAAAAGGGGGTGGGGGAAGAGGCAAGTACGCAACCAGTCAGGGCAGACGGGCACTGGAGAAAAATATTCATCCCCACTTAACATGTCAATCAGGATTAATGCCCTCACAGCCCCCCCACCCCCCCTCCCCAGTTAGGTTCATCCAGGTCCTTTCACTAGTGGAAGCACCGGAGCCGGGGCAGGGGCGCTGATATATAAGGCGGCACAGGACAGGAACGCAACACCACAGCCCCTGCGCTTTCAGTAGCGCACAGTCACGGAGCGTTGCCCGGACTTGTGTTTCACGTTTCTGCGTCCCCGACCAGACGTAATGAGCGATCAGTCACACGTTTCAGGAGACCTAAAGCGCGCCGACTAAGATGTCAGAGCTCCACCAAGCGCCACAGTCGTGTTTTGAGCGCGTTTCCTCGCCCGTGGATTACTCATGCAACACTTTCTAAAGGCTGCACAGGAGACTGTTTGCGTGCGGATAAACTTGCAGGAGTCGCCGCATTCGTGCACGGTCTTCGCTCGCTGTTTGGAGGATATCGGTTAGTGCGCGGAAACTTGCTGCGTAAACACTATACTTTGTCGGCGACTGTCTCCCCCGTCCGAGATGGAACTGAAGAGCGCGTGTCGTATGTTTCTGTTCCCGGTTCAGATGCTTTATTACATTGTCAGAGCAAGTTTGTTTTCGCTGCTGCCGAGCAGGAGGAAGGAACTCACCAAGGAGGTGGTATTGATCACCGGCGGAGGACGAGGCATCGGCCGACACCTGGCCAAAGAGTTTGCCAAGCAGGGGGCCAGAAAGGTAACCAGACAACTTGTTGCGTCCGCAGGGCTCATCATTCCACTCTTTCTGCAAAAGCTAATCATTTATTTTCCAAGTAATTTAATGCATTCTTGTGGGTTCACTGTGTGTGTCACCAGCAGACTGATTCCACTCACAACCCCCTCCTCCCCCCCCCCCCCCCCGTGCGTCAGGTAGCCTGGTCAGTGCTGTCTGCACTGCCCCAAGTGTATTGTTGTTCCACTGTTCTATGAAAGCAGGGATCATGACCTCTGAGTAGCCTAGTTGGTCCAGTGAGACTGAGACACTGCCCTCAATTTTGGTTCAACGATTGCACAACAGCTCGGGTCAACCAGAGGGCAGGTCTGGACAACGTTTATGGCTGATTGATATGATTAAGTGCAGTGCAATAGCTGACATTCATTCTGCTCAGGTCTGGAGGTGATTTTCGTGAGACTGACATTTCTACAAAGTGCATTATCCAAATCCTGAGGCTGTAAAGGGAGCATGTGTGTGAGCTATTTTTGAGTGTAGGTGGTTGGGGGGGGGGGATTTGTGCATAAAGCCTCACCGAAACTGCTTCAAAGCCATTCGCATAATAACAGCCCTGCTACTACCCCATTATAGTTTCTTGCCATTTTTTGATCAGTGTTTGTACTGTTGTAAAGTCTGCCAGCATTTCACAACACAACAGCAAAAAAAAAAGAGAGAGAGACTCATAATGCTTTTAATAAAAGCCAGATTAGGTTTTGTTTTCAAGTATAGCATGAGGACATGGGATGCCTTTTTTATGGAGTGTAATGCAAAACAAAATGAACCCGAGAAAAAAGTGTTAAAGAGTAACAGATTGCATTATCTTGGCAACCATCTACAGTAGCGAGTAGATTAAAATCAGATTCTTGTGAGCTGATACCTGTTGGTTGAATGTGATGAATATGATGTAAAGGTGAACAGAAGAGTGCACATGAACGCTTAGCTGACCCCTGAGTTACCTGTTTACATCAAATTGGAATCAACCATCAATGGTCACTTTTGCAGTTATCATTATCACCTTTGAGCTGCAAATCAGTATTTTTAGTGGAACTCACTCCACCCGTCTCAACAATGCAGCACCCCCCACCCCCCCAAGCTGCCACTAGGGCTTGAACCGATCTGCTGATTGCATAGACAGTTACTCATCACTGCATGTCAGGCTAACCTTTGTTCACAACTTCCAGCTGTGGTTTGTCTACCAATCCAGTGGGTGAATATTACACAGCTGAGTGGCTGATGAGTCGCTGGTGTGCCTTTAGCAGTAATGTGTTAATACTGAGTAGCTCTATTTTTGATCACCTCAGATGGGAGTCGTCCTCACGCATGGAAGAAAGTGGCGGCAATTTCAACCCGCATTGAGCAGCACCGTCTCAGTGCTGCAGGTTGTAATTATCCGTACATGTGTGACACGGGCGCTGCATCTCAGATGCTCTCTTAAGATGCAATTTTTGCAGCGCTGAAAACATTGCTAAAAGCTCAATGAAACACTAACTGCCTCCTTCTGTCTCTCGATGCCATCTCCTTGGGGAATGAGCGAGGAGAAACCAATAGGTTTTAAAAGCTTTACTTTGCAGCTGCACAACAAAGGATGTCACCACGCTTTTCAGCACCCCATTGTTGGGTATTATCAAGGTGTGAAGGCTTTGAAAACAACACCTGTGGTAATGTGTATGGCAATTACTCCCTGCCTAAAGAGATGCTAAAAGGAAATAGGGCGGTAATTATGAATAGGGCTAACCTCTGTGAACTTGCGCTCACCCCAGTTTGAGCGCCTTTGTGACTGGCAGGCGGAATTTCCTTTTCCCCTCTGCTCAGGCTTTGGTGTTTTTCAAGGTGTGAGGAAGACTAACCTCAGTTGTTGATGAAAGAATTCACCGAGATGAAGAGCCGGAGCCTCAGGAGGGGAGCAGGGTCTGCCTCTGTGCTGTTGGAGGGAGGAAACTGTGGCAGAGTGAAGTTTAGAAACAATAAGTATTTTCAAAAAAGGCCCCCAGTAGCACTGGGAGAAGGCTTTCATAACAATCCCGATAGATAGATGACAGCTTTGATCACTATATTTCACCTTGAAGTATTTTTCAGCACCTTAACAGCAACTCCAGAAAACGTAATTTTTTTTCCCATGCGATTGTTAACATTACATAAAGAGTGCTCTGAGAGGGAAGATGAACCAAATCAAGTCACCGATAACAGGTTTGTGTGGGTGTGCTTGTGTTGTGCTGGAGGCGGGAAGCACACCACTCCCAGCTGGGTATTGCCCTGCAACTGACCTTGCTGTCTCCGCAGTAATTAGACAGCGGCAGGCGACTGCCTCCTGAACTCCTGCTGCCCCCTCTGTGTGCCGCCTCTCTGCTGGCCCATACAATGAGTGTGAAAAGGAGGGCTCATACCCACCCATACATTCAGATCTGAGAGATAGAGTATCACTGTAATTCAGCTGGAGCTACTGGGGACACACACCTTGGCCTGTATTGAGTGGCATCTGCTCTGTCTCTCTCAAGGTCTTTTTTTCAAGCTTTGCGACATCAATTTGTTGATTGGAGAACTTTTTCTTACAGCATGCATTGACGTGAGGTCTTGTTAGGCATGCCTAGTTAGAACAATCACCGGTTTATCACTGACACCAAACAGAGCTTATGCAAGGTCAGTCAGAAACTGTTTTCTTCCAGTTTTCTATCCAGATAGCAATTTGGCCAGTGCTTGTTTGCACTGAGGGTCGTGTGTGTTGTGACGGGTGATAAACCAAATGAATTAAATAACATTGTAACAGGAGAGCACAGTTTAAGTGCGGACTTTTAATGAGAACTGTCAGCTTTGTTTGTCTGGCTCAAATCCTATTAAAAGCTTTCAGTTATTTATCAAGACCTGTCTGCCTCCACTGATTACTCAAATGGTCTTGCAAATGAAGCAAACAAGAAACCCAATCAAAAGCAGCTCAAACTAAGGCCGTTCACAGAGGGAGGCAAAGCTTGATTGCTGTTGGATCTGATAAAAGAATAAAGAACACATTCCAGACTGTAATCTGTGATGCTCCTGCAGCTTTATAGAGTCGATAGTTCTGTGTTTGGTCTGCTTCTGCTACTGTTACCATTGGATAGTTATTTGACGTGTGGCGACTGTATCAAAAAGAAAAACAATGTAGGAATTTGCAGACTTTTTTACAGTTTGGCGACTGTGCAAATGATCCAACTGGCTCCAGACAAGTAAAGTGAATTTGAAATTATTGGCACAGTCCTCAAGTGTCCTGTTACTGCAAGATGACAGGTTTAATTTGAGCAGAAGATGCGATTTGCTACATGCTCATATACACTTCTCCATGTTCACTTCGTCTTAAATGTGTTGTATAATGCTTAAAAATGAGATCTTGAGTAAATCCGTTTATGCCTACTGACTGAATGGATGTGTACACATAAACAGTGGTGTAAAACAAAGGGAATGACAGGTTAAACTATGGGCAGACGTGCTGTGTTTTGTGTGTTCATGCATACACACACACACACACACAGACACACACACACACGCACACGCACAGTCTGTGACTCTCAGATACACAAGATCACTTTCCAGAGGACTTTCTGCTCAAATATTAACCTTGGTCACGGGCGACCAGCCAAATCCCACACTAGCGTCCTCAGCACTTCACACACGCACTGTTTTCAGACTCCCTGACCAGAAATGACAGGGCTCATCTGCCCAACAGGCCATGTAATCTCTTTGAGAATTTGTGTTTGAGAGATGAGGAGGGCTCACCCCCTGATTTCATTACCTTTCCCTGACCCCAAAGACTGACAGATCTAATTGCCCAATCACTAGTCCCCCACCTCCATCCAGCCCCATGTTCCCTGCTCAAATGACCAGCCTTCATTTAGTCTCCGGGTGGATGAAGAGACAATTCATTCACACAGCAACCCCCAAGCCTTTAATCTTGCTCGAAAACTATTTGTTGGAGTGAAAATGGCCTCTCTGTTCTCTGAATGAAAAGAGCACTGCTGCTCAAAGATCTCCACAGTTCCGCCAGGTCTTATTGCCAGAAAAAATTGCTCAAATGATACGTAATATTTTGTTGATGACGGTAATGAAAATAACTCTTTTTGTTCCACTTGTGAGCAATAGTCCGCTTGACTGGTTTCGATCCACTGAGTTTCGATACGGAGCATTTTGCTTCCTGTGTCTAACCTTTAAAAATCTCATTCTTTTCTAGGTGATCTTGTGGGGCAGAACAGAAAAGTGTCTCAAAGAGACAGCCGAAGAAATCTCCCTATCTGGAACAGAGTGCCATTACTTCCTGTGTGATGTGGCCAATCGGGAAGAAGTTTACAAGCAAGCCAAGGTGGTTAGAGAAAAGGTACGCCAGTTTAATATTTATAAAGGTAGCTCTACTTGCACAAGGAGAAATGCATTTTCACACAGTGAAACACATCATAAAATACTTCCCTGGGATGCCTCTCTCTCTGTCTTGTCTATATGTATATTTGCTCTGAGCTGCTGTGTCTTCCATCTGGTGTATAGATTACGCTTCATCTGAAATATCTAAATATGAGGAGGGAATATTGCTGACAGCTCTGGTGCAGCATAACTATATCACTTCAGGAAACCAGACAGAAAATGCTGGATGTCTTTGACAATGGACTTTTTTTTCCTTATTCTTGTGCTTTTTAATCTCAGGTGGGAGATGTTACAATATTAGTGAACAACGCAGCTGTAGTCCATGGCAAAAGCCTGATGGACAGCGACGACGACGCCCTTCTGAAATCCCAACATATCAACACCATGGGACAGTTCTGGGTAAGACTTGCTTGATTTTGTGTGCCTGTAGATGTGGGGGAATTCCTCCTAGCAGATTATCCTTATCATCTTCATATTTTGATTATAGCATGGCGGTATATGCAGTAGGCACCCCCAGTCTTGTCAATCATGACTGCTATTATGGCAGGTTAAGTGGGGTATTTCCAAATTGCCCCTCAGCCCCTGAAACCTCAGACGGGTTTTTGAAACTCATGGCATTTTTATTTTGAATGGAGATCAAAAGACTATGTCATACGCAGACAAAAATGCAATCATCAACTAAATGGAAATGGAAATTTAATCTATGGTTACATTGTGGGCCCTTTTCTCTTGTCTGTGCTTCCTTTTTTTGACTATGCTGAATACATTTCACCTTCTATTTCCACACCTCCTTCCACTTTGTCTTTATTCTCCCTTTTTTTTCTTCCCTCGTCTTAGACAACAAAAGCCTTCCTGCCTCGAATGCTGGAGCTGCAGCATGGCCATGTAGTATGCATTAATTCCATCCTGTCCCAGTCTCCCATCCCCGGGGCCATAGACTACTGCACCTCCAAGGCCTCATCACTGGCCTTCATGGAGAGCCTGACGCTGGGCCTGCTGGACTGTCCCGGTGTCAGCTGCACCACTGTGCTTCCCTTCCACACCAATACAGAGATGTTCCAGGGCATGAGAGTCAGGTGAGAAGACACCTAAAAGAAAGTGGGAAGAGAAAGCGTAGCATTCTCCTAGATGTTATCTGTCTAGGAATTTAAAGAGACCATGTGCTATTGTGTTTTGTTTTGTCATGCTAACTGTGTGGTTCCAGTATGTTCCCTATAGGATTAATCCTACTGACTTTAGAGATCCCCTGACTTTCTTTTGTGCAACATACAACTACATATAATATATAACTATTGGATGGATTGCTGTGAAATGTGATACAGATATTCAAAGTGAAAAGAGCAAAAAAATCCTCACGAGCTTGGTGATTCTCTGACTTTTCATCTAGAGCTACCAGCAGATCAAAGTTTTGTCTTTCACAGCCACATAGCCTGACATACCCCTGGTAGACTGGCACACAATTTTGCACATACACTCGTGGTTGCCAGAAAATGTATCCTATGGACTGTCACCCCCTGACTGTTCCTCTGTAATGAGCCACACTGTAGCAGATCATAAAAAAGGACTCACAGTGCTGAGAAACTCCAAAGTTTGAGTCGATGGCTTTTTTTTTGGCTCAATCCTCCTCCTCTGGGCAGATAATCCCCCAGATGCATGTTTACATCAACTGTGAATGCTCTAGGCCTTCATGCGCTTGAATTGCAGTTGAACAATTTGCATCGTAACTCATTCTTGGGGTCATTTATTGATTTACTCATGATTTAGCCCCCTAGTGGCTGTGTCAAGGCTTTGAGATGGAACAGAATGTGATGCATAGAATCAAATCAGCACAATGTTCTCTGCATTATTGAAACTGAATGTTCTTGCTCAGGTACATGACTGTGTCAAACCTTTCACACTGTTATGTAATGTTTTTTGGGTTTGTCAAAAAGCCAGGAGAAGTTAGAATTTGCTTTTGAAGGCTAACTAAAGCAGGCAGTGTTACTTTAAATTCAACTGCAATCTGTTTGTTATCAACATTGGTCGCATCTTGAAACTACTAAAATTTGAGATAGAAATGTAATGTAGTTGCTCAGCATGTCAGTATAATCACTGTTTTGTCTCAAACTACTGTTCCTTTCTTCTTTAGGTTTCCCCAACTCTTTCCACCTCTCAAGCCTGAGGTAGTAGCCCAGAGGACTGTCGATGCAGTCAGAGCTGACAAGGCCTTCCTCTACCTGCCCTGGACAATGCATGCTCTTGTCATTCTCAAAAGGTAAAAAGTTCTCATTTGACATCGAATTTCTTTTTATCTTTCTCCAACTGCAGCACATTTTTCCTTCATGTTTAACATTCTGTCTCTGGTCTTTCTGCACTGTCTAGCTTCATGCCACAAGTTGCACTTGAAGAAATCCACAAGTTTTCTGGGAGTTATACCTGCATGAACACGTTCAAAGGGAGGACATGAACTTGGATTGCACACAGTGTGAGAGCAACCTCAGCAGCTGTGGGGTTTAATGAAGGGAATATGGACCTTAAGGCATGTAAAAGTGGCGAAGGCGCCGTGATAGTGTGAGGACAAATACATTACATGCAAGGGTGTTGCTTCTGCAGGTAGAATTAATTGATAAACTGCACGATGCACCCTGATCATGTGTTTGTGTGCGCGCATGTGTGTGTGTGTGTGTGTATGTATAGTACGGAGGACTGAATGCCATTCTCACTTTGAACAGAAGCCATGCATAGGTCTGTACCAGTAGTTATTCTGGGAGTTTTTGTTTTGTTTTGTGACACTTGTTTTAGTCTGTTTTTACAAATCTTTTTTTTATTCTCCTTTTAATGTGTCTCTGAATCAAAACAATGTAATAAAATGGAGTTTTAGAATTGCATTGTCTCTCTTTGTGCATGATGAAAATAGAAAAAGTGAACGCTTGGGAGTCACACATTGTTCTGTGTTTGGGTTTTGACTCCCATGGCAGCGTGATAACACCTCTGATTTATTCCGAGCGTGAGATCAGTGACTGTGACAGATGATGTTGTCAAAACATAAAACACACTCTTGGGAGAGCACGTGGGATATATTCATGTTTGTTCTCTTCTGGCAGAAAATGATGCGGGGGGTAGTATGATTCCCAATAAACATAATCAACTCAAAACACATCAGTCAGGCACTTTCCAGCGGTCCTAACCACATTCAGTGAATGTGGAACAGCAGACAGACTGTTGTATTTATTGCACCCAGCAGTGATCTTAAAGCCTTAATTATTAAATTTATTGTATTTTTATTGTCTGCTACAATGATAATATATCAAATGTGCTTTTATTAGCTTGGCTCATACTCACACAATCTTAGAATATCTGCAACTGCTATATGTTAGCAGCATAGCAAAACCCCAGGGTGATGTATTACAGAAAAAAACAGGACAATATATAGTCTCCTTTGCTTTTTTGCTTAAGAATCTGAGCATGTTCCAATGCTTTAGCACCAACAAGGGAAGGGAGCTGTGGAAATGTAACAATGTATGTAATTCATCAATGCCAGAGTCTCACAATTACCTATTGATTGAGGATATTATTTAAGAACTAGAAATGTCATAAAACAAAGGAGAGCTGGTAAATGAATTACCAAACCTTGCACAAACAAACCTGTGGGACAGAAATGAAACAAAGGTATGCATCCACTGGAAATTTGCAAGGAGCTTCAACCAAAGAGGAGAAAATGATTTCATTTTATGCGAGGTGAATTAAAACCTGCATCAGTAAACAGCAACTAAACTCCAGTGTAATAAAAGAATACTGTGACATTTTAGGAAATGTGCTGATTAGCTTCCTTGCCAAGAGTTGGGAGAGAATATCAATACCACTCTCGTGTCTGCACAATAAATTGAAGGCACAGCCAGCAGCCAATTAGCTGAGCTTTGTGAGGGGTGCTACCCTGGCTTTGTCCGGTAGTAAAAATTTGCCTACCTTTTGAGACACTGAAAGTGGTATTGATCTTCTCATCTAACTCTTGGCAACATAGGCTGAGATAACCATACTGTATTTCTGAAAACGCTGAACTTTTCCTTTATCTGAATAGCACTGGGAACACAACTGCACTAAACACTAAACTGTGTCCTGGAGGAGATGATAGGGGTGAACCCTAAGAGCAAATCTCCCATTTCAGTGCTCAGATATCTCTTTGCACTCTTTTAACACCTAGCATTTCAGACATGTTGACTGAGACTGTGTAGTTGAGAATACCTAATCAGTTATAGCCTTTTTTTCTTTTAAAATCCTAATTTTATTCATATAATATGACATCATAGAATGAGAGGAGATTGATGAATTGAGATTAGTTGTATGTCCAGTGTATGAATGCCACTCTGGAGACCAAAAAGGAGAACCAAACCTACAAAGAAGCAAAACTTTTAAGTTATACCGCTCCACAAAAATACAGGACCATTAGGGATCATGAGCTGCGATAAAATAAATAAGGTAAAGAAAGGGTTTATGCTCTTTTTCACATCACAGATGGCAGACAGTAAATCTGACCTTGTTAATGTTTAATGAGATGAGGCTAAGATATGACCTCAGTGAGCTTTATCGCCGTATAAGAAAAGGATGTAGTAAAAATGAAAATACCACATTCTTAGCTGCACTTTTCTTAACCTCTTGTGGGGCTTGTGTTAAACTTGCTTTAAAAGTTTCAACCTATTTCAGATGTCTAGACTTTTGATTTTGGAAGCAGAAATGCACTGTGCAACATCTAATACTATAAAGCATAAAGAAGGAGAATATTGCACTCCATAAGATGATCTTCTATCTAAGTGTGGTCATCTAGATCTGAAACAGGCCCTGGTTATTGCATTCTTTCTGTTTGCTCACCAAGATATCCAGATTGCTCCTACAGATTGAACTAATACATGTAGATCAACACAAAGAGCAGTGAAAATGCAACAGGGAACAAGTGTGTGCTTATTCACAGGCCTTGCTGTTTCCTTCCTTGCTGTGAAGTTAATCATGAAGCCAGTACCCTTAACATAGACCAGAACATGCACTGCATTACAATAAATGCAGTCTCTCTGATTCTCTGGTTATGAAACCAGCTAACACTGAAGGCACACAGAAGTGAAATGTGGCTTTGTGGTCTGTGGGTTCTGCAAAACAAACACACAGAGCGCACACACACAGAGCTTTACCCTTGCTGCTTTCACAGCAATGCTATAACCCCTAGTAATAAACACATGAAGGGATATGGAGATCACAGATCCAGACTCGCAGAGAGACACCCCATATCTGAGCACAAGTCAAAGTGAGCTCACACAAACCAAAGGCAAACCCATGAGAGTGGCTGTAAAAGCTGGGATAGTGCCTGGCCTTTGGCTGCCAGACAAGGCTCATAAACATTCATTTGAATCCCAGCGAACCATAAATGCCCTCCTGCGCACTCACGATAGGGCCGCACATTGTGATCAGTAGGTGACCCGCACTGGGTTGAGGGGGGGGGACGGGCACTGCCGAGAGTGAACCCGAGCCTCCTTCAAGGGCCTGTTTCTCATTCTCTTAGTGGGCTGTTGCGAAAGCAGAGGGAGAAGAAGCATGTTGGGATGGAACTAGGTCGAGGAGGCATGCAGTGCACGTATGCTGGAAAAGGAGGGCTAAAATGGTTGGAAATCTCTTGGGGCAGGTTCAGAGCAAGGTTAGCCAAATACTGAATAAATCAAAGGGGGGCTTGGAAAGCTGAAGGCGCTCAGCTCCAGGGTGACTGACCAAGCGCAGGTGGAACCAGAGGACTTAAGGTTCGGTCACATGGGAAGAAATCTGAGAGTGTAGCTGTCTCAGCTGTGACCACATTCCCAGGTGTCTTTTCTGGACATTTCATTTTTATTTAGTGTTGTACTGTGGTCTTGAAGATGTAATTAAACCTCGACATCATTTTTTTTTTCTTTCCCAGTGTGGTTAATTTTAAACATGAACTGAATCCTCACCTTTGATGCTGACCACAAATATGTTTATGCACGTTTATCTGAAATGTTTATTAGTCATCACCCCTTATGGCTTCTCTTTCTTATTCAATGCCCCAGAATTTCCCTCCTCTATACTTTATAGGAGAGCAACAAGGCTGAGTGTATTTTCCTGTATGCAGTCCAAGCATTTGTAATCCCAACACAGGGGCTCGGCGAGTCAGCCTCCAATGATCCATTAAATATATTATAGGCGCCCGGATCTGGAGTCCATTTGACTTGTTGTGCAGTGATGCTGAACGCATGTTAAACCTCAGCCAGTGGAGGATTCAGTCCTTATTTACATCACATACACTTACAGATTCTGTGACTCTGAGTTTCCTGGCAGATGGTCCGCTGTGACTTTGCAGCATAATATGACTCTGCTTCATATGATAAATGTGTTTCCAAAATATTTCATTCTCTCTTCAGATGCATTCGATATCTCTAAAATAAAGACAGTGTTTGTCTACTATCTCTCAAACTTATACCCCACATTCTGTCAGTTTTGCAGAACCAGTCATAAAGCAGACTGTGTCACCTGCTGCTAAGAAGAGATATCCCCTTGCTTTGCACTAACACACTCAGGACAAGTGCTATCAGATATGTGAGCAGCAGAATATTACCTGTAATAAACCCCATAAGTCTGTGTGCTTGTGGACGCGGCTAGAAGTGAATAGCTGAAAGAGCCTGGAGCCAGGGGCAACAAGAAGGTATTAGGGTTCAGCGAGGTGTTATTTGTTACAACACCTTATCCGCTTTCTCTGAACAACGCTGTTAGCCCTCTCGCCAGTTTGCTTCTGGGTTCATCCATCACAGAGTGGGTAGTATGATAAAAAGGCTCAGCCCTAACCCACAGCAAGGGGCCAGGCGTGACGCCTCAGTTGACCTGTCAAACTGTAAGAGTTATTATACACTGTGGTGTTAAAGGTTAAAGGGAGCAGCAAGCTCAGAGGGTGTCAGTCGTCAAAAACACACACACACACACACACACACACACACACACACACAGAGGGAGAGAGAGAGAGAGACAAACAGGACTCTGGAGATAAATGTAAGAAAATTACCTGCAGTCTGTGAATGAATGAATAAATTGTGTAAGACGTTAAACTCAGGTGGACACTTCAAGTTTTCAAATTTGCATTGCATGTGTGTCTGCAGCATCTATTTCATATTGTTATCACATTCATGCAGGCGGCAAACAGAACAAAGACAAACGACAGAGGTGATTTTGAAGCAAATAACTTTCATAAATACAATTTTCAGCACGTTTAATGCTACCTCTAAATATTCTATCACTTCTGCCACAGTTGTTTTTTTTAAAGAATGCAGCTTTTTTTTTTTTTAACCAGCTCAATGTAACGCTTTGCAGTTGAAATGTATTTATTTATTAATTTTTAAGTTTCTTCAAACATGGATAACTGTCTCTCCGTTTAATTTTAAAATATTCATGTTTTATTTGTTGCTTCAGAGTTTTAGAGTTTTGAACAAAAATCGAATGACTCAATATTTGATTTGTGGTTTGGATGGTACCATTAGCACCAGGGGGAATCTACAGCCAACCACAGAAGCAGTGGCAGGACCACATATATAATGCATCTGATGGTGCAATAATTTATCAGCTGCACTATACGGTAGGCATTACCAAAACCCAATAGACAATGAAGTGTCTATATCATTATTTCATTAATGTTGTCTTCACTTTCATCTGTTTATTTAGAATATTCATTTATATGGCTTGTCATTCATTTATTGATGATTTGTTCATTTATCAGCTTATAGACTGTATTTTAGGAATTGTATCACAAACGCATACATCAGCTGCAAAGGGAGAGGCACACTCTAAAAGTCAACAACAATAACAATACATGAACATATGGCTCCAGTCTGTGAGTAATATTCAC